AGAAAAGAAAAATCCAGAAATTTCCTTCCAATTTATTTCGATTGTCCTGTCATTTTGTTCATTTTTGGCTTAGACGAAGCGTTGAAAGTTTTCCTCATTTGCCAAATATTTTAAATGAGCTTGGAATGATCGCAATCCTGTGTATATGAGTGCTGAGACAACTTCAGCGTTTGACGCGTCAAAAAAAATTATTCAGGTACTTAATTTGTTATTTTATTTTTTGCAATTTTTTTGCCGGCTGAAATTCGTCTGGTTATTTTTGACCGGATCTATAAAGCCTGCAAAATACGTCTGTGAAAAAAAAAGTTGGGCCTTGCCCGCACATTTTCGTCTCGCCTCTGCATTTTCAAGTCGGAAATATTTTATTGTGTGGGTGTGACAGCCGAGAAGTACGAAATATACCGTCGAAATAAGCTCATAATTCAGAAAAGAAATTTGTCCTGCATCTTTTTTTTCAATGTGCAGTAAAGTTTAAGAGAAAATAATCCTCTTCTAAAATTCAATCAGTTCGACTTTGTCTTGATGATCTGATCACTGATTTCCGATGAAGTAATAAATAATACAAAATATGTTATCGTGTGGATGCGACAGCCGGTATGTAAATGATTATCGTCGAATAACCTCATGATTGAAGAAATTCCGGGAATTTTCAATTTACTGATGTTTTGTATTGGTGCAAGAAAAATAATTTTCTTCTGGAATCCGAATTGTTTCGCTGTGTCTTGATGATCTATAATTCGTTGATTCCCGAAAGAGAAATAAATAATTGCTAAATATTTCACAGTATCGGCGTGACAGCCGAGAAGTATAAACATCTCGTCAAATAAGCTCATAATTCGAAAAAAAAAATTACTCCCTGAATTTTGAAATTTGTGATGTGTTAGGGTCAAGAAAAATAATCATCCTCTAGAATTCGATGATCGTTTCGCACAAATTAATAATAATTAATATTGATTCATTTGGGTGTGTGTGACAGTCTAGATCTCTAGAAGTACAAAAATCTCGTCTAATAATCTCATAATTCAGGAAAGAAATGTCCCTGAATTTTTCTAATGTGTGATTTTATAGATTCGAAAAAAAGAAAAAAGAATCCTCTTCCAGAATTCGATGTGTTTGGCTTCGTCTTGACGATCTGATTTGTTGATTTCCTCCAGAGCGTCTGCGGAGGTTGTTGTTGGTTTTTCCTCGCTCAATTACGCTGATGACAAGGATGCTTTTCTTTTTTTTAATGTTAAATTTTTCTTCTTTCTTCTATTTGTATAGGTTCAAGAAACAACCCGGTGTGTAAACCAGGCCCGACTTGCTGCGCCGAGTCCGGAGAAGAAAAACTGCCGATTTTGGCGCAACAAATGCTGAGTGCTTTGCTAACGAATGTCTCAAGGAGCCTGGTGGAGGACCTCAAAATAGCCAAGGACGACATCCAACGTGAGTCCTGGTGTCTGTTGTGCATAATTTGAATTTTTTTTTGCGTGTGGCGAAAATTGCAGAAATAAAAAATTTGAGGATTCCGGCGAGTATTCCTGCTGTATAGTGGGGAGAAAATCTCTTTCTCGAATTTCAATCTCAGATTTTGCCTGGAATATTTGTCGCGTAATTTTTTTTATTCACTTCATTCCCTGTCAATTAAAAAAAATTGTAAATTTACGATTTTTATTGGTTTTCTTTTGTAGTTCGGTTTTATGGCAAAAATCCAGTGCAATACAAACATTATTTTTTTCAAAAGGGCAACATTCAACGTGAGTCCTTTTGCCTGCTTTTTTTCAAGAATGCATTATTTGTTGCGAAATTTGTTTAAAAAAATCAATATTAGGATTATTGCGAATGCATTTCTGAATTTCAAGTCCCAAATTTTCCTTGGAGGATTTTTTCGCGTACTTCTCAAATTCCTTTTTCTCCCTGTCGGTGTAAACAAATGAAAATCATTTTATTTTGTCTGAAGTCCTTTTTCAGTCCTGTTTTTGAGGAATAATGTTTTGGAAAGCTTCACCTGCCATGAAGATGTAATTATATAGATTTTTCGTAATTTTTTAATGAATATAGGCATTTATTGCTTCATTAGTTTAAATTCAGTGCTCATCGTCTGGAAAAAGTAGCCGATTTCTTTGCGCGCCGAATTGAAAGCCGGTAGTGATATATTTTTCTTTTTTCACCACTCTGAAAATTGGCGAATTTTAGAAAAATAATTGTCAACTTCTTTTCAACGTTTTTTTTTTCTTCTTCAAAATCAAGTGTCGGTCACGACAATCTACCTAAATCTTCGAATGTTTTTGATCGAACGAAGAATGAAAGAGTGTCAATTTGATAATTTTCTTTTCTGAAAACAGAACCGAATTCTTAGATGTATTTGTTCGGAGATAATAAATAATCATGTTGTTTTACACATTTTAATTTTTTTTTATGTAGAGAATTTTTTATTTCTTTCGGTGCAAATCGGTCAATAGACATTCCCCGGTCTTTATTATTTCCAATCTTTTTTTTTTTATGTGGTCAAAGAATCGTGGAAAATTAACCTTGCTATCCGTGGGATTACCGTACCACTCTTGTTTATTGCCCAAAAAAAGGGGCTTTATTTTCTTCCACGGCTTTCGAAGAGGGTTTCAAAAGAAAGACTAGGGTTTTATTGCTCACCGGGGTGTGTTTGAAAAGCAGCGTGTTCAAAGCGAGTTTAGACTTGGACTTGTGAGTCACACACACACAAATGGTCCTTTCGAGTTCACCTTGTGTATGATGAGGTGGCATTCAGCTTATTTGACCCGTTCTGATTATTATTTTTTAATATAGCGTAGAAGTGGAATTCTTTTTTTCTTCTTCTTTTCTTATCTGCAGGCTTTTGGTTGGAGTGAAAGTTTATGTATTTGTGAAGAGAATTATTATTTCTTTTTTTAGTTTTTATGATGCCAAGGACTTGCTGAATAGGCATTTGATGGGTCCTTGGAAAAGAGGCCGTCGCAGGAATGTGAGGAGAAACATAAACACGGCATTGATCGTATTTCAAAACTGCGCTAAAATCCCAATTTTTGTGCCGTGCCAGACAAATTTATTATACAGTACAATATACCAAATGGTAAAATTCTGTTGCGAAGGATTTTTTACTACAGTAGAAATGAATTTTTTGTTCTTGGCCCCAGCAGTTTTGCCCTTGGAAATATTTTATTAAAAATTAACTACAGCAAAACTGTTTTTTTATTGGCGTGGCTCGTGATGATTCTGTGCATGAGCCACGGGTATTGATTTTAAAATTAGGAAATCCATGGGAAAATTCAACTACAATATAGTGCAAATGCACAGCATCACACATCTTTTCGGAAATGTTTTCAAATTAATTTAGAAATTATGAAAGGTTTTTGATTATCCTTTGCAGAAGCACTTCACAGTATTTATTGCACATTTTCGCAAAATTTCCTTCTAAAATGTGCTAAAAAGCCATGAGTCGAAATATATGCCGAATTTTTTTCTCTTTAGTCCCTGTGAGTTTAATAAGATTTGCTTTATTTTATGTATGTCATTTCCCTAAATTTTTCTGAAGCACAGTAATTTTGAACCGATTTTTTCGCCGGAAGCAATTTTTTGACGCAAAATTTACCCGTAAGATAATACCTGTAATCAAGTTATGCTGATCATCGGGAAAAAAGTACATAGACTGTTAAAATCACGAATGACCTATTTTTTAAATACTTGATAATGTTTTTACGGGTTGCCCAAAACATTTGTTTATTTTGTGGATTACCCAGGGTATCCGAATGGTTCTTATTCTCGAAGTGATAATTTTCAGAATGTGTTTTCAAACGGGGTTGATTTCGCCGCCTCTTTTCATTTTCAACTTTTTCGAATCATCATTCACAAGAACGAAGCCTAAATAATAAAAGTTTATACTGTAGATTCTTGTAAAAAAAAATTCCTGAACACGCTCTTTCGGTTAGCAAAAACATTGCGTGTAAATCGAATGTTCAATACTTCAGCCTAGATTTTGGAATTGGGGCACGTGTATTATCGCCAGGTCCTATCGGTATTGCATTTGACGTGGAAAAACGTTCGCAGTTCCTAACCCAATTCCCCGGGTTATTGATGGGTTCAGCGTCAAGAAGAAGTGAGGTCAAATGCCGTATTTCTCAAAAATATGGTACAGTATGTAAACTTTTTGAAAGAGAGTGACTGAAACGTGGCAGAAATTGTGGGCGATATTCTCATGCATCCACCAAACGAGCACAACCTAAAAATTTGTTTAGCCTTAGTGCCAAAATTTAGAAATCGAAATTTTAATTTTGAATAAATCAGAAGTTTCATAAGGTATTTTATGCTGTTATTTCAAAAAAGGGAAAGGAAACATGCGATGCGTAGCCATGCATAAAAACGAGGAAAAAATTACCCATAAATTACGATGCAAATTTTTTGACAAAACAATTGTAAGATTCTGTGTTTATGCCCAGAAACATTTTTCTTCTCATTTTGAGTTTCAAATTTAGGCATTCTGACGTGGATGGGTCCTGTTTTGAGAATACATTTGTAACAATATGATCAGGGTATTTATAATTTGTTATGAATGACCAAATAATTGGATACGCATTCGAATAAACCTTATGCTTCCTAAAAATTCAAGACTTTAAGAAATATAAGTCATACCAGAAAATATTACTCTTGTATCCGAGCTTTGATTCACTTTGTTCAATGGTACCAAAATCGCAGGAAACAAAGCAATGAGTACAAAGTGGACCATCAAAGGTCAGATCACTTTTTTTTAGCTGCATTATCTCCGGTTTTGTTCATGATATTGAATGTTTAAAATATGCAAATTGTAATATTTTCAATTTTTATCATTTTAGGGATTTTGTCGCTTTTCTTCTGCTCAAAACGTGCATTTGAATAAAATATGCCAATAAAAGAAGAATCGAAAGAGAACTTTTTTCCGTGGGTCAGGTGAAATAATTCGAAGCTGTCCCACTTACGCGCGGCTTTTAATGACTATTTGCCAGATTATTGAATTATTTTTATTTATTTTACTGCCTTTCCTGAAAAAAATTTGTCACCTATCTTTTTTTTTACGAAATCCCGGGGAGTATAAATGTGAACCTTTTGTTAGTGTCAGGGTTTCGCTGAACAAAAAGCTCTATTTTCTTTTGCCCGCTCTTTTTCCAATCAATGCGAAACTCGATTATGTTACAGTACTTCGAAAAAAAAAAACTTTCTACCTGTGATTTCTGATCGCGATTTTCCCCGTCTTAGAAGCTCCAAAAAAAATTCATGTGTCGTGACTCCAGTACAGGAATATAAGAGGGAAAAATTCCCGACAAAAGAGTCAGGAATGTCTTCCTCAATTTGTTTGTGGCAACGCTGGTGTGTAAATGTGTATAGCCCCTTGTTTCTCTCACGCACCCACAAACCTGAACCCATCCCCCCCCCCTCCCCGAAAAAAAAGGTTTCCTTTTTTTCCTACTTCTTCCTGATGAAGCACGATGTTTTGTGATGCCCGGGATCCACCACTACCACGACACGCCCTTTAGGTCACGCAATGTCATCTTCTTGTTGAAAGCTTGATGGAGAACTGGGGCTAACCATAACACGAGAAGCCCTCTTGGGTTCTCTGGAGAACCCACAGAGATCGGTTGTTGGAGAGAGGGGGGGGGGGTTGATTGCGATAAAGCTTCATCGCATTGTTTTTATTTTATTGTATTTTTTTGGTAGTAGACTATACGATGATGGGGGGGAAAAGCATGAGGTCTTGTAGAGTAATGTGAGAACCATTCGTATATGAGAAGGAGGAGGAAAGCAATCGGAATTTGATGATGTTTTCATCCTGGTTCAGGTGGGCGGCTTCACGATGAACCCGCAATTTCTTTGCATCATTTGCATCATCATCATCATCATCATTTTGAAGTAGAAATCGTTATCATTCTTTTTTACGAGATGCGTTAGACAATTTTGGACCGATTTTCGAGCATATGCGTTTTTAAAAAATGACTTCAGCTAAAATTAATAATTTTAAAACTTTGAAACATTACTTTCGAATGCAGGCTTCATGAAAATTGCACCTATCATCTGCTGGTTATTTTGGCCATTTGAAGAAGAATCTACGATGCAATATACAATATTGCTCAAGCAGAAATGAAATTAGTTTTCGTTACAGGATGATTATTACAGTCTCGGGAAGTGGTTGGAAACAATACACTTGGAAAATTGGGACTTTTCACTTTTACGTTTAAATTTAAATAGACTCAGAGATAAATTTTATGAATCGGATTGGAACTTGACTCAATAATTTTCGGTGAGCATTTCCAGCATTTTAGGTGGGAAAATCTGTCTTCGATGTTTTTCGATGAATGAATTTTCATCTGCAGTATTAATTTCAGAAAAATCAGGAATCATTCCGCGAATATAATTTGATGATTTGAATTTTATATTTCGGACGGTGGAAAATCCAATTCGAAAAACTTTATTACATTCCTGAATTTTATGGAAAAAAAAACGCGGAATTCCTCGGAAAATTTCCGAATTCTTGCAGTTGAATGAATCGTTTTCCTGGCTCTGCAGAATTTAATGCTAACCTTCAAGCTCGTTTCCAAGAAATTGCCTGAAGAAAGATCTACATTTTCAAAAAGCTTTCCATTTTTCATGTTTCTTTTTCGTACAAAAACGCTGAATTCCATTTAGGGAATATTCGAATTCTCAGAGTGGAATGAATCGGTTCATTGGCTCTGCAAAATTTAATGGAAACTTCCGAGGCTTTTCCCGAAAGAATTCCCAGAAGCAATGTTTCCCATTTCAAACTCCTCAATTTATAATTTTATTTCACACAAGAAAAAAGCGCTGAATTTCTAAAAATTTCCGAATTTGCCGGGTGGAATGAATCGGTTCGCTGACTTTTCAAAAATTTAATGCACACTTTCGAGTGCGTTTCTAAAATATTCCCAGAAAAAGTTCTATGCTTCAAAAGTTTTCGTTTCTTTTCGGTTTTTTAAACCGAAAAAGTTTAATTCCGTCGGGAAATTTCCAGATTCACCGGTTGGAATGTATCAGCTCCTTGGCTCTGCATATTTAATGCACACCTTCGAGTTGGTTTCTAACATATTCCCAGAAGAAAGTTCCTCGTTTCCAAAGTTTTCATTTTCTTCAAATTCCAATTATTTTTTTTATCCCCGCCGCCAAAACCGCTAAAATTCCTCGAGAAATTTCTGAATTCATCGGGTGGAATGAATCGGTTCCTTCGCTTTGCAAAATTTACTGTAAGCTCTCCGAGTTCGTCCCTAAATAATTCTCAGGAATACATTTTTCATTCTCAACAACCCTCTTTTCCCCATTTTAATAGTTTATTTGACAAAAAAAAAAACGCTGGATTCCTCAGAAAAAAAATTCAGAATTCACCGCGTGGAATGAATCAGTTCCCTGCAAAATTTATTGCGAACTTCCGAGTTCGTTTCTGGAGGATTCCCCAGAAGGAAGTTCACCTTCTGCGTCTCGTCTTTACCCTAATCCTCCAATTCCTAGACTGAATCTCTCTCTCTCTCTCTCTCTTGCACACCAACGACCTTTTAAAGCTTCCGAATTCAAACTTCCTCAGTTACATGAAACGAAAACAGAATACGGTGGAAGCACTTGGCATAATTACGTGGTGGTGGTAGTGTCCGGAACATATAGGGGGAAAAGGCTGTTGTGAAAAATAATTGTTTATTAAAAAGAAGAAGAAAAAAAATAAGAATACTTATAGATGTTGGATTGTCGGTGGGTTTATAAGAGAAGGTGGGAGGGCGAAAAAATACAAGCGCCCAGGTGTTTCTGGGAGCATTTTACGAGTCCTGCTCGCATTCCTGATTTTACCCTTCGCCTTCAGGGAAAGAAGGAGAGGGGGGAGGGGGGTATCCCCCCCCATTTTTCGAGTTTTCATATTTCTTGAAGAAAAAAAAAAGTAATGTGAGCAAAGGAAAAAAATGTATCCTTGTGGTGGTGGTGGTGGTGGTGGTGGGAGGAAATTTTCTGAATGAAAACCCGGCCTCACGTTTTTTTTATACAGGGTGAACCTGAATAAAGACTGCGGACCGATTGTTTTCCATCAGAGGAATTTTTCTCAACAGCTGGGAAAAGCGTGTCGAATTGCGTGAATTCCATTCAAAACGCGTTCCAGTTCATCTTGGCCTTCGCTGTATGATGTATAAAAAAAAAAAAAAATACATGAATAATGTATATTTGCGGACTATCTATTGAATTAATGTCCCGTGCGATTCTGCGAAGTTACCTGCAGTGGATTCAGGTGTTGTTGGGCGGAGTGTATTTTTGCTTCAGGTACACCCTGTAAAAAAAATAAAAATATTTCTTTTTGTTGCTCTTTTCTGGGCTCGCCTCCGAACATCTTGCGGGTCGGTCGAAAAATCGAGGCCGGTTTTACGACGGTCTGGGAATATAACCAGTGGAATTCCTCCTTCTTCTCCTGTTGATGATGAGTGCCTTTTTCTGAAAACAATATCATTCGTGTGCTTTCTTTTTCTTTTTTGGCTGACTTCCGAGAGTATTGTTGCCTATATATAAATATATATATATATTTATTTATATATGTGTGTGTGTGTAGCTGAAGCTTTGACCCTCGTTGTTCGGATTTCAAAAATTCTCGGGGGATTTTCCTTTTGTGGGATTAAGTTTTGGTTCTTATGGTCGAGATACTCGAGGGATATTTCGAGAGTTGTTGTGAGGGATGAATATGTATAAGAAGGAGTCATTCATCCTGTTGGTTAGATTCCTTTTTCCGTGCGAATTTACTTAGTTTGAATTGTCTGGTGCAGTATTTTATTTTTCGTGAGAATGAGGCATCGGAATTTCGATGCTAAATCGTGGTATTCTATCTTTAAAGAAAATGTAAGCCCTTGAAATGCGTTCACAACTTGAAATTATATCGGAGCACTCGTGGAATTAGTTGGACCCTATTTTCAGAGACCAAATTTTATTCATGTTTTGCCGAAGAAATAATGAATCGAATCACACGAGCAGGTTAAAGTAACTTGTAAAAGTTGAGTTCTATTTTTAGAGTTGCATCAGGGAACATTTGGTCGATAAGATTCAAATTACTGACTTCACAGAATAGCGTTTGATTTCAAAAATTCGAGATGGTTGCGAGTTTGACCAAACCTGTTCAGCTTTTCTGCAATTTGTTGTCCTATCTTTCGAAAGAACTTGTGAGTTGAGTATCATAAACAAAATTTTATTGTATAATACTGGTGCAACTGAACAAACACACGAGGTGAGAAATATATCCTGATCTAACCCGGAAAGATATTTTCAGCCTATCCTCCTTCCTATCTCAACACAGAATACACTCTGAATCTATTAAATGGACATTCCCCATTTAAGTAGATTCTGGCAACAGCACAATATTTCCACACAATATTCAACACAAACCCCACCCATGGAAATGGGGGAAAAGAAGGTCAGATATGATAAATGAAATCTGCCTGGTTAAGAGTATAGAATACTCATCAAATGAAAATACAAGAGGGAAATAATTCTTTCATTTCATGAAAGAATATATTTGGGACCAAAGGGATAAAATTGGTGGATGTGGTTCACTCCACCAGCCCATCACTTCTCGTGAATAGCAACGCATCCAGATTTTTGCAGTGTTGCACATTTTTTATTAATTCTAAATCTCTGACAAATTAATGAGGCAGTGGGAAAGGGGAATACATAAAGTATTTCCCTTTTCCAGGATAACAAATTTTAAAAATATTTACCATAGGTATTTAAAATATTTGATATATAAAATATTTCGAAGGACTCAAAAGTGAGAGCCCTGAAATTGAAATTGGCTCTCAGCTCTGGTAATAAATTTATTTATAGCAGTGCACTTGAAATGGAAGATTGAGGCGGCTTTTTCTTTCCAGGATCAATTGTATAGTGAAAAATACAGCAAATAATTATAGTAGATTAAAAAATTAATCTAAAAAACCATGTTTTTCAAGTAAGACTAAAAAACAAAAAAAAATTTAGTAAATTAAAAATTAATCTAAAAAACCACGTTTTAAAAAAATATTCCTATAATTTCTCTTTTCACAAAAGATTGCATTGTCATCAGTTTCTAAGCTATCCTGAAAGTTTCAGCTTGCTAGCTAGTCGGGAAGTGAGCAAAATTTGAGTTGAAAAATTTGATCCAGACAAACAAATGGACAAGAAAGCAAGTTAATAAAAACGTGTTAATTAAAATGTCCGCGGACGGCATGAATTATATTTCCAAAAATTCTCAGAATTAAAAAAAAAATTTTTGAAATTTGTTATTGGTTGTTTTCCCCGAATTGATTTCCAATCTTGAATACTTTGGAAAATTGTTGCACTTTTCTTTAATTTTATTCTAGCTTTGTTAAAGTTAGACCGGAAAGCTGGATATTGCCTATAGAAAAATTCATTGAAAAACAACGCAAAAAATTATTTAAAAAGTCTGGAATATCTCTGAAAGATGACACATTACTTTTTTAAGCCACGCGAAAATTCTCGAGCGTCATGCAAAATTGTACCCGTGTTTATTTTATTCAAACACAAATACGGGGATCGTATCGACGCATTTGAAAATTACGCAAATGGCATCATTCGAAAGGAAATTGCGAAGACCTTCGAATTGATTTGATTTTTTCGTTTTTCATTTTCATGAATTCAGGAAGTATTTTCGTTTGAAAATTCTTCGGCTGTTTTTTTTTGGTCCGCTCTCCACGCAATTGGAAACTTAAGCTTGCTGAATTCAAGAGCTTTATTTCTGCAGGCAGTTTTGAACCTTTCAAGAGTTTTTTTGCATCAGTTGTATTCAATTTAATTTTTTTTTGCAGACATGGTGACCAACACAGTGACGACAGCAGAAAAGGGCACAGTGTCGTTGTTGCAGCAGTATTTCCCCGACCACGGCCCAGCTTGCGAAGCCGCCACCAAGCAATTGTTCGCGGAAGTGCTGCGAGAGTTGTCGGTGTCGTCATCAGCGCCGCTGTCGACGGACGCCCTCTCCGCCGCCGTCGGCAACTTCTTCGACGACGTGTTCCCTATAGTGTACTACAAGATCGACGCGAGTCGGGAACTGAGTCCGGGCTACAGGGAATGTTTGCGGAGAGAGCGGCGGCAATTGGCGCCGTTTGGCGCCATTCCGGACCTGCAGGCGAAAGTGGTGGCCGAGGCGGCGGTGGCTATACGAGCCCTGGCGGCGGCGGTGGATGTGTTGCTGGAGGCCGTGGTTGCCGCGTCGGCGGGCACGGGAAAAGGACGGGGTTGCGAGGTGGCGGTGGCGAGGTTGACGTCGTGTCAGGTCTGCGCGGGGTTCGAGCCCTGGTCCGGGCAGAACAAGGCCTGCGGGGACTTTTGCATGAATGTCTTCAGGTGAGCTTTGAGAATGACTTTTTCTATACTTAATTTAATAATAATAATAATAATACTGTATCATCAATGTAGAGGGTTAACTTTTTAGAGGCTGTTTGAAAATAACTTACTTTAACATAAATATGAATAAGTTCACTGGTGGATCACAAATTGAAGAATAAAGTAAAGTTCGAATTTTTGAGAAATAAGACAGAATCAGCCTGGGACTAGGCCGGGAATCCTTGTAAGATTTCCTATTTAAAATGTTTTCCAAATGTATTTCGAAATTTTCCCAACAAATATTTGAACACACAAAGACAAATTTTTGTACCCACAACAACTCAACAGAACTCTTCCTTAAATTCAGAATAATTTCGCAGCACATTTGATTATTCCAAAAGTACGAATATTCACTTTGATTTCAATCTGGCAAAACATGGGGAAAAAAGATGATTTTTAACACATTTTTATTAACTCGCTTTCTTGTCCGTTTGTTTGTCTGGATCAAATTTTGCAACTCAAATTTCGCTCACTTCCCGACTAGCTAGCAAGCTGAAACTTACCACATTTAAGGTTATTTTTTGCTTTTTGAAAATGTGGTTTTTTAGATTAATTTTTTAATCTACTAAATTTTTCGCTGTTGATAATATTTGCTTTGCAGTGCACAAGTTGCGCATTTCAAGATTCACAAAAATCAGGATTCATCAGATTAAATATCAGGTGGAGCACGTTGAAATGGTCTGTTCGTGTATTTTTTTTCGGAGCATTTTTTCAAGTTTCTGAACTAAACGACGAGAAGGAAAAATAGCTCTGTGCGGGAATTCTTATTATCTGGTCTTTCTCCGTCTATTTTCGTGTTGCATCGTCTTCAATAATTTTAAGCTCGCCTTTTTTTTGTTGCTGGAAGCAGAATTCTTTGAAATGGAAGGATCATTTGCAAGTTTGCATCACGCAAGCTTTGAAGCTTTGTGAACAAAGGAAATGCTAATTTCTAGACATCTTTTTATAGGAGTGGCCTGAGTGCTGCTCTAGAGTCCTTAAGAAGGCAACCCATATGTTGGGCAAGCATGCCTTGCATTAATTATTAAACATAAAGTCCTAGAAATAATTTCCTCCTCCTTAAAATTGCAGTGCCAGGTACTTCCTGGTCTACGACTCAGGATTCCTAATCTATTAAAGGTGTTTTCTGTAGAAACTAATGAAGGTTGAATATCTCTGAGTATATAAGCAGCTCATGTTTAATCAGATCATCATCACCATTAGTAGTTGACTTGCTGAGTTATTCGTTAACCAATTTATCTTAGCTGAGAGAAGAGTTTGCTGAGTTGTTCATCAATTACCTTTGTGAAATACATTCATCCTGTTACCTTAGGAATTCCTACAATAAGGAATTCCCAGTCCTGTCCCAGACTGATCCTTGTGCGTTCATTGCAACGCTTGACATCAACTTATATTGCAGTGACATCTGTCTCCAATACCATACTTATTTATAGAAATGCAGACACATTTTCAGCAATTGGTTTTCTGCTGAAAATCATTGCTTCATTTTTAAAACTTTTACAAAATCAGAAAATCCAAAAAAGGCAATTTTCAATCACCTGCTTTTGTAGGATTGTAAGAAAAATTTTCAAATTGCCGCCCAATTTTTAAAAATTCAGTTCAAATGACAGTGCAAAACTTTTTATAGTTATTTTGATAAACTTATAAAAATCGGATAAGTTTTCAAACTCGATGATTATTCACGCCCTTCATTTACATCTTTAAAAATATATGTCCACATTTTTCCTGGATATTTATTCCAATAATTTTTTGAATTTTTCAAATTTGCGACGCTTATTTCTGCGAATACCTGAATAAGTGACTGGAATATTTTGCACCACAGCACCGCATTTACAAGCCTGGGGTTACCTCGAATAACGTATCCAATGAAGTAAGGTCGTGTTTTTGTGCCTGGAAGTATGAAAAAAAAATACAAAATAGATGTTTTCGCGAGTTTGTGGTACCTCGGTCACGTTCGTGGTAAGTCACGAAGAGACGTGTTCGTGCTACGGTGATTATGCCTGAGTTTAGATGAACGAACCGTCAAGTTTAAAAAAAAAGAAAAAGGAAGAAATCCAGGCAAGTATTTACTCACTGGTGGTGCTTTTTATTCATTTGGATTTTAGTTCGGTTCGACGTCGTCGTGATTCTAGATCTAAAGATATATTAATTATTTTCGAGAGTATTACCCTTTTTTCTCTTGTTGTTGTTGTGATGGAGTAGAGTTATTCGAGGGATTTGCATGAGTGCGGTCGAGGATATGTTGATTGGAAACGTTTTTGTGATTTTTAAAAGATATTTTTTGATGCGGATGGAATAATTTGGCTTTTAATGAAGCTGATGTTCGATTTTGTTTCAAATTCGCAACGTCACTCAACAAGGAATTTCGTCATGAGATTTGGAAAAGAGTAATTGTAGGATAATGTCATCTGCAAGATTTTCATCCAACATTTTTACTTTTCTGTAAATTTTGAAGCATTTTCAGTTGAAGCTGATCAGTTGGAAAGGTTTTTAACGCAAGGTTCCCAAAGCATAATTCAGACGGGGAATTGAAAAAAAATCGACTAAGCGAGGTTCAAATTATCCCAGGTTCAACTCTAAATTTTCCATTTAAATTTTAATGAAGCTGATGCTCGATTTTGTTTGAAATTCGCAACGTCACTCAACGAGGATTTTCTTCATGAGATTAAAAAAAAGATTAATTGGAGGATTATGTCATCCGCAAGATTTTAATCGAACATTTTTACTTTTTTTTCAGGCTTATTTTATCTTGTAGGGACTTTTTCTCTAAATTTTGAAGCATTTCTCGTTGAAGCTGATCAGTTGGAAAGGCTTTTAATGCAAGGTTCCCAAAGTATAATTCGGACGTTGATATAAAAAAATCAACTTAGGGAGGTTTGGATTATCCGAGGTTCAACTTTAATTTTTAATGAAGCTGATGTTCGATTTTGTTTCAATTTCGTAACATCACTCCACGAAGAATTTCGTAATGAGATTTAGAAAATAGTACATTAATTGTATGATTATTTCATCCGCACGATTTTCATCCAAATTTATTCCTTTTCTGTAAAATTTGAAGCATTTTCAATTGAAGCTGATCATTTGAAAAGATTTTTAATGCAAGGTTCCTGAAGTATAATTCGGACGGGGAATTGAAAAAAAAAATCGACTAAGGGAGGTTCGAATCATCCCATAGGTTCAGCTGTAATTTTTTCCATCCTGAAAAAGAATGATCAAAATTTTCAATTTAATTTTTTCTTCAAAAGGGGCTGTTTGGCACCATGGACAGCACTGGAGTCGTCCTGGATCCGCGTGGCCGACGGGTTCGCGTCATTCGCCGAGGCGGCGTCGAGTTCGGAACGCGCGTCCGCGTTTTCCACGTCCGACGCTTTGTTCGCGTCCTCGTCGTCGGCTTTGGCGGATTCCTCGTCGTCAGCAGCGGTGTCGACAGCGTTGGCCAAGTCTCGACAGGCAGAGGAGATGGACAAAGAAGTGCGCGCGGCGCGGATCGACCCGCAAGCCGCCCTAAAGGACTTTGACCTCAAAGTCGCCAAAGCCTTGCACCTGGCCATTCAACAGGGCCTAGTGCTTGGGGAACAGGTTCGCATTTTATTTTTTTTTCTTCATTTTTTCCCCCCTTGCACTGACCCCAATCCCTTTTGTTTTTTATTGTTGTTCATTTTTGAAGACTTCAGAAACGATCTTCATTTCTACTTGTGAATTATGTCGAAACTTGTCGAGGCAAAGCTCACAAAGAATGAAGTTCAAATTTTTGAGGAATGAATATTGAACAATGAAATGTTAGATCGAAATAATCAAAGACACAATCTGCCGGGGAACTCAGCAGTTATCCCAAAGAGAAAAACGATAAAGATAATATTTTCTGGAGATTTATATTGGGTACAATGGACCACAATATAAGTTGATGTTGAGAAGTTCAAGAAATAAAACAAATGAATCAGTCTGGGACTGGACCGGAATTCTTATTTGAATTCCTTCTTAAAATTGTAGGAATAATATATTTCAAGCACGAGAGTAAAATGACTTGACGAGCTCGGGCTTGGAATAAACTTGAGTAATCTCTGGCACACAACTAAATTGAATCTGAGAGTGTTCTTGTAAAGGAAAACGGCTTATATTAACAATCACATCACAAACCTTCACAAGGTTTTAATGTAGAATCAAGAACATGAAAAGCTATTGTCGAGGATGCCGCGGTGCCAGGATGTTCCTGGTACTGTGATTTTGAGGAGGGGGGAAACATATCTAAGAATTAGGTACACTAGAGTATTTTATTATACGCGGCGTGCATGCCCAACAATATTTGATAAATTCACACTCAGAGAGAAATCGATCAATTTGCCGCAAACCAAGAACAAAGATTGTGTAGAAAACGAGGATAAAATGGACAAACTCGCAATTATTGCGCAATTGGGAAATCCCAAGGGATTTTCCGGTTGCAGAGTATTTGTTGAAATAACTGGATAAAAAAAATTGTATATTAAAAGGAGTGGGACGACAGTAGTTTTAATCCGGTATGTTCTCTGGCGTGGGACGACTATACCCTACAGAAACGAATATCCAAAATACAGAAACAGGAAACTGATTGGAATCAAAATGCGCGAATAATCGTGTTTCTTTATTTTTCAAAGAATGAGATTCGAAACGATTACAGTATCGAAAAAGACAAACAGGGAACTGCTTCATATTCAAATGCGGAAATAATGTATTTCTTCTTATTTAAAGGAATGCGATGCAATGAAAAAATTAATAGGTTTTTCTTAAATCGGATTCACCAACAGATGGCGATCCAAGTGCCGACTTCATTTAAATCGATCTGTTTTCTAGTTTTTCGCTTTCAACGGGTGTGATTTCTTTTTTCTGTGGTGATATTAATTTGTTGAGGAACTCGTATTGGTAATTGTAAAAAAAAGAGTCGGAATCTCTCGAGATTCAAATTATGTAATACAGAAAAAATGCATTAGAACAAACTCACAGGGGCCTGTGGAAAAAATTCGTTGTGATGAAAAATCCATTGTCAGGATACTCGTTGTTTTCTTTAATTTTGGACTGAATTGCTTCCACAGCAGGTGCATGAGGGCTTTTAATAATTTTCAACTCATTTCGGTAAATTGCTTTGTTGCGAAAAAAATCAAATAACCTCTCATTCTAGCCTGCCACGCTTCAAAAATTCTAAAAAATGTCTTGTCTGATATTTTGAAGATATAAAATGAAAAATGTGTAACTAGAGCACTTATGTTCATTCAAATTTTTAATTTTTTCTTTTCAAAGTGGAGCAAAATTATTTCAAGCTTGCAGTTCATTTGGAAGACTGCCGAAATTAATTAATTCTCAAATGAAGCTAGGCAATAAATTCTGAAAAGAACATTTCGCTGCATTTTTTCGGCAATACAGTACTAAGTTTTCTGCCGAAAATGCCTAAACTTTCTTATTTTTACATGAACTTTTAATGCTGCAAAATTTATACTTTGCCATTTCTCTGTCAAATCGCGAATATTCCTATGGCCCATGCGCAAATTTAAGGTGAACAAGATGTATTATGCAACATTACTGAGATTCCAGGTGAAAATAAAGTTTGTTAAGAACACATGACGTGGTTCCTGTGAGAAAATTGCTGGGCCAGGTTAAAAAAAAATCTTCTTTACGTATACTGTAATACTTTATAAACAGAATTTTAAATTACGCATACGTCACGTTTGTCGAAATACGCGGTGCATTCGAAACGAATATAAAAAAAGCCAAGCAGGAAACTGCTTCATGAGCAAATCATAACGGTTAGATGATGCGAAAATAATTTTTATTCTTTATTTGAAAGACTGCGATGCGATATGGAAAACAAATCATGATTAACTTCGAATAGGATTCACCGCCAGATGGCAATTCAAGTGCCGAGTTTATCAATTTAAAGTTGATGACGAGCAGCGTCATCTAGTTTTTTTTTCGTTTTTAACAGATGATTCCCTTTCCTGTGGCGGTATTAACTCGCTGAGGAACTCGTGTTAATTAATAATTGAAGCAAATATGAGTCGTCGTTATCTCCCGCGAACCAAATTTGCAAAAATAAAACCATGTTTAATCTCTAACACTCCTGGGAAAGGAACGGAAAAATGTATGACTTGAAAATTAGCGTCTCTCACCGGGACTCCAAAAAAAAATAATAATAACGGGAATTTTTCTCTTCATTCCCTTTGCGAACGGTTACTTCATTTCTGGTTTGATAAACTTGGTGCAACGAAAAGAAACTGTTTCGCAGAATTTCTTTCCACGCCAAACTCATATTTTCAAAGGCGGCCAGAACATTGACAAAGCATTTTCGCTCTCGCCTCGGGGAAATAATCCCCTTTATTTGCTCAACACCGAACGAAACGAAACGAAACGAACGAACGAACGTCGCTGCAAAGGCAACAAAAGTTTTTTTTTTTCCGAAAGGAAAAAAAGTAGCTCTTTTTTATATTCTCTTCGTCTCATAAAGTGAGGAAAAGGAAGCAAATCCGCTGCAAATATCCCTAGAGCAAACACGGATGGAGAAGTATGAAATATTCCCGCGGCACCGAAACAAAGAAACGAGAGCTTCGTGCAAAATAAAAAAAAAGAGAGAAGAGAACCAACAGATTAAAGTGTGAGATGCAAATGTCGACTATTATGTGCGAAATATTTTCCGCGTCGGGATGATGATGTGACTGGGGTTTTTTCTTCTTTTTTTTTAAAATCAAAATGATGCTGGGGGATTTTGAAAAGTCTCTATTACTTCGCATGCACTTCGACTTCTGAGGTCGAAAAATACTAGATTTATTGTACTCTTTTATTTTTTCACCTCGAAATGATGATTTTAATTTCATTTTCAATTTATTAGTTTAATGGCATACTTGAAAAAATTTTAGCAGCTGCTGAAGTGCTTTCTGAGAATTGCCTGAATTTTACGTCCGATGTCTGGATAGGGTGTGGAATTGTTCATCCAATTAATATTTATTCTTGGAATTTCCATTCAATTATTTTCTGTCTCACGTTTTACAAAGAAATTTCAGCACTGATCAGTCTGATCAATCACTGTTACAATCGGTTCACATCGTTAATCTAGTTTTGCAATCGTGAAGATCGAAAACCGAGGTTTGTCAAGGAACACAAGAGTAAGCGAATTTTCTCAAATGAGCTTTATGTTTATATTTCAACATTTTTTCCAATTTCTTAGTGATACTAGTAAAAATAATGCATAGGTTAAATTATTAATTACCTTTAAATCCCTCGGCAGTTCATGAAATTTTCAATAAACTTTCGTATTTCAATTTTAAGACATTTTTGGAATGTTCAGAAGTTTTTGGTGCTTCTCGACGCGATTAAATAAAAATTCACGAAGATCCTGCGCATTTTTTTTCTATTTGCGGCTAATATAGTATTTTATTTGCTGTGGTCAAATAACAGAAGGGCAAGAAAAAATAAAAACTGATGAGAAGCTGTTTTCACGTGACGCACGATATGTGTGTTTGTCTTCTCAAGTCGTCGACGTCGTCGGCTATTCAGTTCTGATTTGAAAATAGACCAAGTGTCACCTTCTCGCGAAGAATGACGTGGAAATGAGAATGAGATTGCTTTAGTCTTGCCCGGGTTGCTTCTCAATTTTTTTTTTTGAGTCCATCAGTAATGTGAGTCCATCGCCGGCAGGGTATAATACACCTAAATCCATGAATGAGCGATTCAAAAAATATTTTAGCTTTCAGTGTTCTGTCTTTGAGAAAATAGAAAAGCTTCGCATGGTTCCAGAAAACCGTTCATTTTGGTTCATTATATGGAAAGAGTTCGAATTATAGTGACTGAAGCTGAATAATCAGGGCACGGTAAACTGATTTTGTTAGTGACTCGGGCGACACCTGTCTGACGCTACGGAAAGTAACGTCGTGTGTTGGAAAGTTCAGAGCATTCTCCTTTTATTGAGGCTTTTGTGAAACTACACCTTCCTTTCGTGATAGTTTTTCGTGATTTTCAAATCCTTCATTTATTATTTCTCAATTTTTATTTATTACCTCGCTCAATCAATGCGAGGTAATTGATTCAGGCGACATCTTGCTGTCACTCGAAGAGATGAAGCAAGGTGTCGAAGGTTCGAAAAAATTTCGTGTGGCTCGTTTTTGCATTTCAACTTTGTTCTCTGTGATTAATATTTCCAGTTTTATCTTTAGAAAAATAATAAAAAGCTCAGCTGCTTGAGAACTCGTCAGAAACAGCTTCAATTATATGTAAATTTTTTGAGGTCAGTTCGAATAATTTCAAAATGTTGGTTTTGTCACTGCGTAAAGTCGTATACGTTTGTTGAATGTGTAACCAAAAAATGATTTCGTGGCTCTGGGCAAAGGCGTATAATTTCTGCCTCTTGAGTTCCCTTTTTCCAAACCTTTCGGTATTGAACTAGAGAGAAGCACGTTTTCTTTATTTTAATGATTGGCTGAAACCACTTTTTTTTTAAATCGTCCTATCGGCAAATATAGGTGAGTGCCAAATGCGGGAAAGGGCAGTCGAAGAAACGCCGTCGTCGCCGAGCTGAAGTGTGGACAGCAGCGGGGGATTCGCCAGTGTTGCCAATTATTCGAGAGAAGCGATTGGCTGGCGAGAACCGGCTTGTGGACCGACTGGAAACCCTGGCGACGATGCTGTCGAAGCGTCGAGCCTTTTTCTCGACACTGGGTGACGAAGTTTGCGACGAGCTCGCAGTGAGGAAAAGCGACGACAACTGCTGGAACGGAGTCGAAATCGGCAGGTAATTATCCTCTCCTCTCCTCTTTTTTTCTTTGTTCTTTTTTTTACCTGGACGAATGAAAGAAAAAAATTCATGAAAAATATGTTGAATAGTAAACATTTCAGTGCAGAATTCTATTGATTAAGTGCAGGTGCAATTGTTTTTTTTCCAACTGGTCTTTAACTGGAACCTTTCAGTCAAGTGTGTGATGGAAATGAAAATTGTAGATTTGGTCGGAGTTTGTGATGCTAAAGCCTTTATCGACATCTTCGAGAAAACTTTGGGAGGGCTTATTTTTTTCGGATTGTAAATTTGTCAGGGATTGAGGCAATTTATTTTTTTCAGTGATAATTGTAATTTGTCTTAGCGGTCTTGTAGGGTATTTTTTCCATTTTTTGGTAGTCAACGTGATTGAAGACCCCCTCAAAAAATCATACGTTTCCGATTTCCTTCAGAAACCTTTCGTGATTTTAAAGCAATACTTTCAAAACCTAGATTTGTGTTAATTTTAATTTTTGGCTGGCAACTTGATTAAAAATACTCGCAAAAAAAGTCTGCTTTTCCGAATTTGTTTATAGGAACCCCGACAAAAATCTTACACCAAGATTTGTATCCCAATGTTCCTGATTCCCCCCCCCCCTCGAAATACAAATGAAGCAAAAATAGGGAAATAGATCGAGAGAGAGAGAGAGGGAGAGAGAAGATCGTGGTTTATTGTCGTCGCAAGGAAAACAAGAGTCGGTTGTTTCTTGAAATTTCGTGGCAATCATTCTTAATGAAGATTTGTATCCCAAATATATATATATATATTTTTTTGGTTGGCAACTTGATTGAAAATCCTCGCAAAAAATTATATTTTTCCGAATTCGTTTATAAGAACCCTAGCCATCATTTTATACCCAGATTTGTATCCCAATTTTTCTGTTCCATCTATGTACACCCTTCGAAATTCAAATGGAGAAAAAATAGATAAATAGAGAGAGGGAGAGAAGGTCATGATTTATTGCTGTCAGAAGTGAAACGGAAGTCGGTTGTTTTTTTAAATTTCGTTGCAATCATTTTTCATCGACATTTGTATCCCAAATACAAATTTTTTTAATATTTTTTTTGGCAACTTGATTAAAAATCCTCGCGAAAAAAAATATGCTTTTCTGAATTTGTTTATAGGAACCCTAACAATAATTTTAAATCAAGATTTGTATCCGAATGTTTCTGATTTTGCGCTCCCTCGAAATACAAATGCAGTAAAAATAGGGAAATAGATCGAGAGAGAGAGAGAGAGGGAGAGAGAAGGTCGACTCGTGATTTATTGTCGTCAGAAGGAAAACGGAAGTCGGTTGTTTATCTCATAGCGACGACGAGCGATGGGCGTGAAATGCGGCGGATATTGGTTTTGGGGTGACGGGCGGAACATTTTGCGCCTTCCGAGAGGCAGCAGGCTTTATACATGTATTTTGTTTCAAATCCCTACTGTGGGGGGGAGGGGTTAAGGGTTACAAGTTCCTCTTCCGTCGGGTTCTTCTGTTGTTTCCTCCTCTTTTTTTTTCCACGACGGAGAGAGAGGGTTCGTTTTTTTTTTCTTTTCTTCACCTGCCTGATGCCTTCTTGCTTCTTCTTATTATAACTGCGATGAAAGCGGAAAACGAATTTGTTGCCAGCTGAGATTGGAGACGATAACTCGGTTCAGTTTCATTGCAGCAGGATTCATTTCTTTTCATTGCAACAGAGACTGTGAGACCTTTTTCTTTTCTTTTTTTTTCTCTTAGAAGTCAATCATGGCTTTCATTTTCTTCCGTTTTTTTCGTGGAGAAAGGACGCATTGGACGGATCAAATTGATATTGCTGAAAGAGATACGCTGGAAATCTAAAATGAATTTGAAAATATTGAATGGAAAAAATCTGACTTTATAGCTTCAAATTAAAGTTCCATTTAATTCAATTTGTGTGATGCATAAAAAAATAATTTTATTTTCTTATTTGTCTCTGCTATGCCCAGTGAAAAATACTTTATTCTGAAAAATAGGCTTTTGTTGTTTAAATAAATAAAATAAAAAATTAATGTACAGATTGAATTTCTCTACAATAACTGTCCTGTTGTATTTTCTTCGTATAACTATTTTTTTTCCTGGTCACGTAGGGTCATCTTTTAATGTTATAGGGATTCTCTACAACGAAAATCTCTCTACAGCGATTTTTTTGGGTCCCTTGAATTTCGTTGTTTTTCTGAAAGCTGAATTCAGCTTCGAAGAGACGATAAACTTAACACGTATCAAAATTGTTTCGACTTCGAAGTTAACATTGTAATTTTCATTATATTTAATTCTTCCGTACATTTTAAATGCGAGTTTACCGAGGAAAGCTTTCTCAATGAAGAATTTCCGTTTTTCTTCTTTTTGTTGAACGGCCAAAATTCAAAATATTCAGGCTTCTCTGGCTCACAATTTCTACTATTCCATCGAATATGAATGAAATTTCCTATGTGTTACATCAAAAATGGAAGAAGTTTTTTGGGCAAGCGTCGATTTTTTGTCAAGCCTTTCTGAAGTTCAGTATTTTTTAAACTAGCTTTTCTGGGTTTTACTTCAAAATATTTTTAGAGGAACGCGGTTTTTGTATGACATATCGGGTCGATCAATTATCGAATTGGCATTCGAGGAAGAAAAATATCCCTCGTTTGCGTAAACAAACGGTACGGAATCCTGGTTTTGATCAATGCCTAAATTTATTGGAAGAGAATGATCGATTAGGCGTCAAGTTCCATCATATATATTTGCTCATTGAGATGATTGATGACGTTTTTGTGCCTTATTTATTTTCCGTTAGCCTCATAAATTTGGTTTTTTTTTTGTGTAGGAAGATGTTGCGTATTCAGGGAAAAATTGAATAATTCGGACACGGAGGCGTTGAAAGGTTTCGTTTTTTTGAAAATAAGTATTTTTGGAGGTATTTTGTGATGGTGGGGACGTGGATTACGATAACTTGAGGTGAAGAGGAAATAGTGATTGATGATGGAACGCTGGGATTATTGTGTCGTCGGTTTTGGGCGCGTCCATCTTATCTCGAATCGTGTTCGAAACTTCTTTCAGGGATTTCGGATTGATTGAACCTGTTGAAAAAAAAAAGGGTAAATTGGGCTAGCTTTTTAAGCAAAAAAAATGTCGATGGGTCTGTCCCCCCATATCTTCTTTTCAAAATTGTTCGCTTGCTTTTCCTGATCTCAAATCTCCCTGATTTAATTGCAATTTAGTCGCAATTTTTTTTATTTAGCGACCGAGAAAGTTTTCGGAAAATCAGTAAAGCGATACCAAAATTATTCCCGTTAAAGAATAAAAAAGAATAAAAAGCGAAGGACTTTTAAAAATTTATGTGCATAAAAGTGATGTACAGTATATTCATAAACATTCTTTTGCAAAAATTTCCATAATGTATCTTTATGCCTTGAATTTTTTAACGGACGCGTTTTTCACTATTGTGTACCTGAATTTCTTTTTCCTTTTGCTCAAAAAAGCTATTCACGAAATATTAATGCGTACGAATGATTTTTTTTTCTTTTTGGAAGTACGGAGTTTGAAATTTCTCAGTTTCAACATCAATTTTCGAAGCTCTCCTATTGATTTTTTTTTATTACTGCTTCGAATAATAATTCTCCTATTTTATTTTGCTGTTGAATGAATGATCAGTAGAAATAATTTGAGGAGAAACTTCACGAATAAATTAGAAAAAGACAAGAAAAACTTGAATGATCAGTAGAAATAATTTGAGGAGAAACTTCACGAATAAATTAAAAAAAGACAAGAAAAACTTCACTATTTTCTTTTTATGAATTTCAGTGAAATTTTAAATCGTACTGACGAAAATTTGTCATTGGCGATTTTCGGGCGTTTCGAGATTCTTTGTTCGCAAAAAATTTTTTTTGCCCCTAATCCCGCAAAGAGAAAATTCTGAGAACAGATAATTCTGGACTAATCCGAATTAAGTATTCCGAATCATGTCTCTTGGAAGCCCTTATTTTCTATTATTCGTCACCCGCGCGTGCGAAACTTCGGAATGCGGGATTGAGAAGACTTTTCACATTCCACGAGATGTAAAAATAAATTTCGATGGATTTCCAAGCACAACGTGATCGTTTCCACGAAAATAGTGGGAATTCTTTGCTCGAAATAAGGTACAGCAGTACTCCGGCTTTATTCTACAAATGGTGAACTGAAAATAGGTCAATTTCGAGTCAGTGTCTCATCCTACATGATTCGATCAATCATGACTTTCAATGTTGGAATTTAGATTGCCAAAGAGTTGGCTTGATTTTATCTTGAACAATTTTAAAATTAGATGGCTTTAGTCGAATAAATTGTTATGATGACTGGTTTAGGGGGCGTTGTATCGGCAGTGTCAGCGTGTACGAGTAATCATTTTTCTTTCCAAAACTTATTTTGCAATATTTTGAGCGAAACATTGAATTGGTCTTCAGGAATATTTTGGGGGGAAAATCAATCGAGGCAGACAATATATGATTTCAGCGTAATTTGTGCCTTATTCCATTATTCAGGTCATTATTTTACAAGGGTTGTCGAAAATTTTTTTCGGAAAATCTATTGCAATTTTTCGAGCGAAAGTATTTTCATGGATTTGAGGAATTATTAAAAAAAAAATTAAGAAATGCAATAGTATTTATTATTTTGGATGATCTGCAACTTTAAATTATTTATAGTTTTAGTTTTCCATGGTTGTCTAATTTTTTCTAAAAATCTATTGCAATTTTCCGAGCGAAAGCATTTTCATAGATTTGAGGAATTATTTTTAAAAAAATTCAGAAATAGTATTTTTTAAAAACCTACTAGACGTCGAAATTTAATAAACATCAAAATCAAGAGGTACCAACAGATTAAAAAAGTCCTTTAGATAACGTAAAAAACTCGATTTTATAAGCGAGCCAAAACAGTTTTGTATAGTTCCCAGAGAATACATGATTTTGAAAATTTTTCCTTGAGCTATTCTGTACAGTATCTCAAATTTTTTTTTATCTAAGGCACATCATGAAAGTTATTCCTGAAATTCGATGCGTACACTTTTCGATCATATGGTGAGGAGGAAATTTTTGAAAAATTGTATCCACAGTATTTTATTTTAGAAAATTGATTGATGACATTTTTTTCTTGTTTATTTATTTTTTGAAGATACACGAGTCCAGTGGTGGACATTGGCCCGATTGCGCAGAAGTCCAATCCCGAATTCGACTCAAGTTTGCCGTCTCCAGCTGAGGACGTTGTCGCAAATTTGTCTGCCCGCATGGACAAAGCTGCCAATGTTAGTATGACCTTTTTCCATTCCCACGAAACAAAGAACATAAAATGACACACTAGCTGCCTGCTGCTGGTTTTGTCTGTACAGCACAATAAGCTCCTGTTTGAGCTCAAAATCATCCTTCAGCGTCGTTCTCCCGTGTATTTCCTTTACATATTTAAAAAAAAAAAACCACTCGGAGGGTTGTTGGTCTTTCTATCGACCAAACCGGGATTTAAAGTGTTTCTTTTTTTATGCACAGAGCATTTTCAAACTAAAGGTTCTTGTCGAGTTGGTGAAATTGGGGTCATTATTCATCGGGTCGAAACGTGGTTTTTACTGTCTGAGGGATCCGACCGACCAGAAATGCTTGTAATTCCTGTCTCGACATGGACTCCGTGGTTTTCATCATATCTTCCTTCTCTATATGACATTCTTTTCTTCATATGAGAGCAAAATTGTTGCGTTTCACTTTGAAAAATAGATGCGTGGAATTATCCACGCATCTGAATAAGATGTATGACTGTGCAAAATTGAAGCCACTCATCGGTAGTTACTGAAATTTTCATGAGTTCATTTTTATCTCTTTACACCTTAGCTATAGAGGGTTCCTTGTAATTTTTTTTGCATCACTTGGGTTATTTCGTTTTCATTATTTATATTTTTTTATTATTATTAATATTACTTTGAATTAAGTCTGCATCGATTCGGTTTTCATTTTTTTTTTCAAGCACGCTTTACAGACTGCAAAAAAAGCTCCATTGAGGTACTCGTGAATCGATGTGAATAATATTTGCGAAAAATTGACAGATTTTTTGCTTCCGAATGATCATGTGCTGAAGCTTTTAAATAGTTTATCCTCGTGCAAATTCGCAAAAAATTATACTTTTCCCCGAGTGTCGGAAATCTTTGTAAGCATACGAAAATAATATTTTAAATCTGTAATTTTTGGTGATGAAAAAAAGCCGTTATACATTAATCCCACGAAACAAAGAACATAAAATGACACACTGCCTGCTGCTGGTTTTGTCTGTATAGCACAATAAGCTCCTGTTTGAGCTCAAAATCATCCTTCAGCGTCGTTCTCCCGTGTATTTCCTTTGCATATTTGAAGCTTTTAAAAAGAAAAAAAAAAAACACTACTCGGAGGGTTGTTGGTCTTTCTATCGACCAAACCGGGATTTAAAGTGTTTCTTTTTTTATGCACAGAGCATTTTCAAACTAAAGGTTCTTGTCGAGTTGGTGAAATTGGGGCCATTATTCATCGGGTCGAAACGTGGTTTTTACTGTCTGAGGGATCCGACCGACCAGAAATGCTTGTAATTCCTGTCTCGACAAGGACTCCGTGGTTTTCATCATATCTTCCTTCTCTATATGACATTCTTTTCTTCATATGAGAGCAAAATTGTTGCGTTTCACTTTGAAAAATAGATGGTGGAATTATCCACGCATCTGAATAAGATGTATGACTGTGCAAAATTGGAGCCACTCATTGGTAGTTTTTTGAAATTTTTATGAGTTCATTTTTATCTCTTTACACCTTAGCTTGCGGGTTCTTTGTAATTTTTTTGCATCACTTGGGTTATTTCGTTTTCATTATTCATATTTTATTATTATTATTAATATTACTTTGAATTAAGTCTGCATCGATTCGGTATTCATTTTTTTTTCAAGCACGCTTTACAGACTGCAAAAAAGCTCCATTGAGGTACTCGTGAATCGATGTGAATAATATTTGCGAAAAATTGACAGATTTTTTGCTTCATGTGCTGAAGCTTTTAAAGTCAAATAGGAGCACGTTTAAGCGTTTTTTAATATGAAAAGGGGCTCACAGCCTTTAGAAACATTCGTATGCTTTTATTATAAAATTTAGACATTAAAAACCACTACTTTTTTTCGGCAATATGTAATCTTCGATTCTGCGCAGCTGATGGTTGAATAAATCCTCTATTTCTTCAATTTTTTTAAAAATCGGATGCTCAGTGTAAAAGTGGTTCCTGAAATTTTGATGCAGAAAGTTTCGATGTGATTTGTTTTAACGAAAATATTTTGAATGTTCTTTGCTATTGAAAAAAATTTAATTTCGAGGCACGAACAGCAGCAACGACGAACTTTTTTTTTCAAATTATTGCTCTTAGTTGCAGTTATTTATTTTTTTGGCACTAATTTCTGTTGCTGGATTTTTTGGTTGACCTTTTTGTTTCGTTTCTCTTTTGTTTTTTTCCGTTATGCGTCCGCATGGATTTTTTCCCCCATATTGGACCACGTCACCGTACGTTGGAACACCTCGCCTTTTGTTTGCTTCCTCCTCCTTCTCCGCAACCGGAAACGAATTTAAAAAAAAAAAAAAACACCGGAATAAGGAAATTTCCCGGTCACGCTACTTGAAACTGAGTCTGTCTTCGTCGTCGACGTCTTTGCAAACCGCGGACGCCCGTGCTTTCCGCTCGGGCCCGTCGTCACTGCCGCTGTCGTCGTCGTTGCTGGACCAGGACGCCGTTTCACTGGCGGCGGACGCCCGAGGCGGCTCTGGCAGTGGGCGCCTGGATGCCGCCGGCGCGGACGGCGACCCGTTCCACCAACTCGGGCCCGGGGTGGATGACGAGGACAGGTACGCCTGGACAGACGGGGACCAGGGTTCCGGGTCCGGACATCCGGAAGAAGGCGGCGATCCTGCTGAGAGGAGAAGACCGCAATGGAGTGAGTTGTATATATATATATATATGTTTACTGTGTATAATATATTTTTTAATGGTGAAAAGAACAACAAGAATTTAAATTTGGCGATAAATGAAAGGAAAATTAAACGCAGAATTGCATTGAAAAAATTCACCTATTTTTCAAATGATAAATTTGTTAATGGTGAAAAGAAGAACAAGAATTTAAATTAGGCGATAAATGAAAGGAAAATTAAACGCAGAATTGCATTGAAAAAATTCACCTATTTTTCAAATGATCAATTTTTTAATGGTGAAAAGAAGAACAAGAATTTAAATTAGGCGATAAATAAAAGGAAAATTAAACGCAGAATTGCATTGAAAGAATTCACCTATTTTTCAAATGATCAATTTTTTAATGGTGAAAAGAAGAACAAGAATTTAAATTAGGCGATAAATGAAAGGAAAATTAAACGCAGAATTGCATTGAAAAAATTATCCTCTTTTTCAAATGATCAATTTTTCGAAATTCAAGGAGGGCCACCGAATTTTCAAAGATCATGATTTGTATCATGCACAAAATATATTAATACAGAATGAGTCAATGAAATTGGCTTGTCACTGAACTGAAAAATACACTGCTAAAATTACAATTGTTTTTTAAATGATGAAAAAACGAAGAAAAATTGGAATTAGGCGAGAAATGAAATGAAAATTAAACGCAGAATTGCATTAAAAAATGCAACTATTTTTCAAATAATCAATCTTTCGAAATTCAAGAAGGGCCGCCGAATTTTTGAACATCATGATTTGTATCATACACTATATACATAAATACAGAATGAGTCAATGAAATGGCTTGTCACTGAACTGAAAAATACACTGCTAAAAATACAATAGTTTTTTAAATGATGAAAAAAAGAAGAAAAATTGGAATTAGGCGAGAAATGAAATGAAAATTAAACGCAGAATTGCATTTTTTTAAATTCGACTTTTTTTCAAATGATCAATTTTTCGAAATTCAAGAAGGGCCGCCGAATTTTTGAACATCATGATTTGTATCATACACTATATACATAAATACAGAATGAGTCAAGGAAATGGCTTGTCACTGAACTGAAAAATACACTGCTAAAAATACAATAGTTGTTTAAATGATGAAAAAAGAAGAAAATTGAAATTAGGGGAGAAATGAGAAAATGAAATGCAAAATTTGAATTTCTTAAAATACATCTATTTTTCAAATGATCATTTTTGCAAAATTTAAAGAGGACCACCGAATTCGTTGCCCTAAGAAGAAAACACAAGATTCAATAGCATAAAATATCATGTGGTTATATTGAATGCCTGTCACTGGACAAGAAACAAAAATTTCTAGCAGAATTCCACAAAAAAATATTCCCCAATTTAAAAAAATAATTTTGCGCAAGAATAAATTTATCATATTTTTGAGTATTCATTTTTCGGTCGTTGGCCAAAGTTTTCCACGTGCACACAAAATTTTGCGTAGACGGAGTGACTATAAAAATAAAGGCTTGTTGCTTTAGATTAGCGGAAAAAAGAACAAGTGTAATTTTTCATTTATTCATTTTTATTTTACCTCTAGAAAAAATGTCGCACCCATTCGACGCATCCTGCTTAAAACTTCACAGTCTCTCGACTTGGTGTCAAGAAAAGAATCCTGTTGCTTCACCTTCGCAGAAAGATAAATTTATTTTGCTTTTGTTGCCCTTTTTCCCCTCTTATATTTAACTGTGTGCATTATAAAAAAAAATTGATCATCTCTTGATTTTTGCAAGAAAATCTTGCAACTTGGCGCTGGGGCTCATTTTTAAGGAATGTGGTGCTTCAGTAGATTATACAAACATGAGATGGGAAACGGATTCTGATCCCGTTTTAGAATTTGAAATATTGCAAGAACAGCTTCCTCTGAACTTTGGATTTCACTTTATATCAAGCCTGAATTAATTGTTTCGGCTTCGTCCCGTGGATATTCAAGTGTTACATTCGTAAATTTAACCAATTCATTCCTGGTTTACCCTGAGTAAATAAAGGCGTACTTATCCTGAAATAAAAATGAGTTCAGGAATGTTTCATATGTTTTTGTAAAAAAAATATTACTGAATATAATAAACGGATATTATTCTTTGTTTATTATCTGACAGTCGTTGCATCATTTGGAATCTTTTCGCTGCTTTTTTCTGGATGCTTTGATACATTGGAAGGATATTTTTCTGAAATTATCTTTGAAAGATCCCGGTTTTCCAGTGAGAATCTTCAAAAAACTGTGGCATGATCAATGATACCGAGAGCAAGTTTCTGTTTATTCACTGAAGATTTTCGTTACACTCAGTCTAAACTGAATACTGTAGGTATAACCTAAATATTAAATTTTTTTTAATTTTATGCGACCTGCAATTTTTCAATTGATGAATTATGACAGGCGAATTATTATTATTTTCGCATTTCAAATTTTATTGCCAATTGAGGTCCGTTTCAGATTTGTGTAGTATTTTTTTTAGTCTTGAAAAATAAATACGGTAGGTATAACCTGTATATTATATATATATTACTTTCATGCGACCTGAAATTTTTCACTGGATGAATTATGACGGGCGAATTTTTATTAGTTTCGCATGTCAAATTTTATTGCCAATTGAAGTCCGTTTCAGATTTGTGTAGTATTTTTGGAGTCTTGAAAATTAAATACGGTAGGTATAACCTTTACATTACGTATATTTTACTTTTATGCGACCTGAAGTTTTTCACTTGATGAATTATGACGGGATAATTTTATTATTTTCGCATGTCAAATTTTATTGCAATTCGCGTTCCGTATCAGAATTGTGTAGTATTTTTAAAAATTTCAATCTAAGCGAGAAATGCATTTCAACAAATAACAGGGAATTATCAAATTTATGTGCTCGCAAATTATGTCCGGCCATCGAAAAAGACTCTAAATATGGAAGAACAAAACTGTCGTAATTTATACGGTATAATATATATATTTTTAGGATCATTAGAGGTTTTTTTTTCTTCTTTTCCGAAGACGTATTTTTAGGATGGATTGCATTCGTAAGAAAAGCTGTGTTCTTCAATTTCACTCATGATATTTACATTTTTGTCCAAGCACCGGTTCATGCCTTGTTGGTCTAAAGTTTAAGCTGTGAAGTAGCGCCCTTTTGCGCCTAAGCTCCGCTGGGAGCAGTCGCAGCTAGGGACAACAGTCACCGAAGGAGCAGTAGATAAGTCTCTTGTTTTCGATGAGATGAAAATGACACAAAATAATCTTTTTTAAAAAAATATGGGGAAGAAGAAGAAGAAGAAAATGAATGTGAACGACTCCGGGGAAGATTTATAAGATGTGGAAGCGCGAGGATTGAGGCGGATTTTCAAGCCCGTCAAGTGATCAACGAAGTCCCGATTTTTGTTTCTCCTTAGTGCCAGGCGTGGTGTAAAAGAAAAGAAAAAAAAAGAAGAATTTTTTTTTTGGCGTGCGAAAATTTCGGGGAACGGATTGACATTTTTCCGCCTTTTTCCACTGTCGGAAAGGAGGAAAAGGACTGTGATAGGGTGTGTTTGTTGGAAAACTGGGGCTCCGATATTTTTCCCTGATTCTCCCTGTTTTTTTTTTATTTTATTTTCCTGTTTTCGAGAGCTTCTGCCAATTCTTGAAAGAACCCAACGCGAGGCATTCGAAATATTTTTGCTTTTCTTTTGATTTGATTTTTTCGCTTGGAACGGGGATGTGTTTGAGTGTGTGTCTGTGCGCATTTCCCCGTTTGTTCCTCCTTACAGAAACGCGTTGAATTTTTTTTTCTTCCTTTCTGCTGGAGGTGAGCTAGTACGTGACACACGAGATTTGTACTGAATTGCGAAGCGTTGATTGGCGACCAAGAAATATATGAATTTGGGAAATTCGACTCACTTCTAGGAGTACAATACATTACAGAATATTCCTCGAATACTGTACCACACACGTGGCGAAGCGCATCCTAGCCTCTAGCGACCATACGAACGGATGAGAATAGTGAAGGTTACTATCCGCAACGTAGATGTCGCACTTTTTCACAAGCTGCTGCTTTTACCCCTGCGTCTACACGGATCATGCTGAAAACTAATGTCTACGAGTTGGATCACGAAGCTGTCGGAACGTTTCGCGGGCAACGACAAGAGTGAAGAAAAGCTGTGGTCGAAAGTGACTGGACATTCTTTCGAAAATTGCACCAACGACAAACTCATCAGGTTTGGATTTCAGAATCGAAAACAAAAAAAGCTTTAATTTCTCGAGCTCTTTGTTTTCACTCGGTTCCAAGTTCCGGCGGAATGAGTCAAATAAGGAGCAGCAATGAACCACTTCAGAGATTTCACGCCGCAGACGATTCTTTCGCTATACCGGAAACCGATGCTGGTCGTCGAAACCGAAATCCGAAAGGCTCTATCCTAAGTTTATTAAAGAAAATTTTTTTTTCTGGAAATCGTACTGGATCTTGTTGATCGGAATTGTGTGTATTTTCAGGACGTGCATCTCGGAAGAATACCCAGCAGGACGACGTGGTAATTCCTAGCAAAACGGTGTGCGATTTATTAGTTAATTATATGAAGTTGCCAAACCTTCAGCGGACGGCGACTGAATTATTGCAGGGCTAATATGTACTTACTTTTCTTCCAGTTTTTGGCATCACTATAACGAGAAATGATTCCGTTGAAAATACTGTAGCTAAATTAATAAACAGAAACTGTTGGAGGGTTCACTTATACTGTACACGTTTTGGGCAAAATGAGGAAAATCGCCATGAATCAGAATTTCCAACGATTCGATTGATAAACTCTGCTTTTTTAAAACATTTTGTTTCGAAACAAAGCCAGGATTAGGTTTGTTCAGTCTTCCCAGTCTCATCACATTTTAAACGCCGAATAAATTGACTCCGAGTCAAATTAATTGGCAAATAATCGACGTACGATTTCTTGATAACTTCAAAAATTGTCGGAATGACAAATTTACTGAATTTTTTTTTAAATACTGCAGTGATTTTTTAAAATATGTTTTTGAAGGCGAAGAAATTGCGTTATGAGGACCAGATCTTGATCCCAGAAAGCTGGGACATTTCTAGTCTGGAAAACGACATCAAGAAAATGGAAATCCAAACGGAAGAAGGTCAATCATTATTTCGTTGTATATTCTCTCTTTTTTTGTCTGACTCATAATTCAATTTTTAAACTCTCTCGTTTTTTTTGAAGTTTTGAGTAGAGTGAAGGAAGATAAGTCTACAACTTCGTTGGTGTGTGAGGACAGTGAAGAAGAAGTGGCAATTTGGGAAAAACGCAGAGCAGAACATTTGGCGTCTGTGAAGGAAATGGCGTCAGTTTTCGGACTCGTTTTCTTATTTACTTGCTTCGTGTTTGGACTTCATTTGTGGCTCATGCCTGGGGATTTGCGACAAAGGTTATACTGTATATATCTATTTTCCAAATTATTTGAATTTGAATGTATTTCATGCGTGTTTTTCTTTTAATAATGTCAGGTCAATCGCGTTGAGAAAGTTGGACTCCGTGGCTGAAGCACTCGGAAGACTCAAGCATGGGTTTCTGAGAATGCTGTGGCTTGAGAATTGACATATTTTCAAATCAATTGCTTCATCTAAAAACAAATTAACGTATACTGTACAACGGAAGTCAAGGGACCAAAAACATCCGTCGTGGATATAATTTTCTTGTAGAGAACCCCTAAAACCCTGGAATTGAACCCCATGGGTCATCCGAAATTAAAATCGTTGTATTGAGAAAATCGTTGTGTAGACAATGTCTTTTTGCAGAGAGAGACTCCACTTGATTACGAAAAGTATTTCAGCAGATTTGGTTTTACAACTCAATTTTGACCCCGTATTTAAATTGCGGTTTTAATGTTGAAAATGAGTTCAGATGATTTTAAGATTCACAAATGCAGGCGGGAATTGTTGTTTGAATCTTCATTTGAACCATTTCATCGTTCCGGGTCTAAATTTAAAAGTCCAAGTCCTGGATGGTCAATTTCCTTGCCATTTTCTTGAGTTCTCTCTCGGACATTCCATTCCCTCGCTTGTTCTGAAAAAAATGTTTTTAAAAGTTGAGTGAATTGACAAATTGTTTTAATGGTATTTAATCGATGTACCTTGAGAGTTTTCTTGAGCCACTCCTTGTCATTCATCTTCAATTTTCCACTGAAATACATGGTGTTCACCTGGTCCAGGAGTTCGTCCACTTTGTTGGGGAATTCCGAGGTTTGTCTCTCCATCTTTACAGAAAAAAAATTAGCATCAAATTTTAAATTTCCAGTTGAAGAAATGTGCGCAGAACCTCTTCAGTATCCAGTTTTGCTTCTTCCTCGGTGTTCACAATGGCCACTTTTCCGGTCTTCATGCCAACAAACATTTTTATCCGATTGAAGATGAAGTCCACCATTTCATATTCGTTCACTCTGTTCTCCAAGTCTTTCTTGACCTTCAGAAATAAATTATTCATAAATATTGGAAGCCATCAACACTTAATACATGTGATAAATTAAACGCACCTCTGCAAATGACATGATGATGATGGTCAGCAGCAAGTTTGTGAGTACTATGATGACAGTAAGTGCAAACACAAAGAACATGATTGGGCCCAAAACTGCATGACCAAGTGCCATTTCCTGGATGTCAAATTTGCCTGCAAAAATCATGATGTTGCAAGATTGATTCTGTTTAAAATTCAAATTGCAGAGTCACCCACCAAAAGAAGCAACCAAAGTTGACATCATTGCCTTTTCAAAGGATGAGTATTTCAAGACAACCCTGGACAAGTGGACATAGAAGAAAAGTCCAAATGCCAAGAAAACCTGTAAAAAAAAACAATTGTAATGAAAAATGTTATCTGAGAAAACAAGAAACAAATTTTCTTAATATTATATTTTTTTAAATAAATCATCAGATCCTGACTTACAATGCCCAAGAGGACAAAGAAACTCCTCAGATCCTTTGCACACTGTTTCAAGGTGGCAGCCATTAATCCCATCCTTTTGTTGAATCTCAGCAGCTTTATAAACTTGAAGGTTGCACAGAACACCAGGAAACCCACCAGGTAGGTGAAAACCTCTTCAATGTATGCCACTGATTGCAAATTGACATAATCCCTGCCTTGCTTCTCTGCGAATTTTGAAGATATGCTGCTCCCTGCTATTTTCCTGCAGAAATTGGCCAATACAATAAACTTGAAAGATGAATACTTGGAGTAGACCTTTTAAAATAAACTTCTGAAATTTAAAGCCTCAATAAGAAATACATAATTCAACAGGCTTGAGAAAGTTTCTGCTCAGGATTCAGGACTCATCTTCCAAAATTTCCTGCACAACAAAAGTAAACTGAACAACAACTTTCTTCACTCTAACTTAATGTAAAGAAATGCATAAACACTGTTGGTCATTGAATATTTTGTGTGTCATGAAACATGTTAAGAATAGCCTTTCTTTGTGAACATTGCTGCCAACCTTCATTCCCTGCTGTGTATAGCAACTACATTGCCCAGTAAGCTGCATCATCTCATGTCTGCTCACAAGCCATTTACCTGTTGACTGTCCCAATTCATTTCTAATATCTCTGCGTGGTCATCAATGGTCTGCACAAACTCATATCTATATAAGAATGCCAGAGATATCAAAGCATGGTTTTGCCATAACCCAGAGATCCATGGATCAAAACCATGCTATGCTACCAATTTTGTAGGCTAAACCCACAAAGAGCGTGCAATAAAGTTAAAGAATAACTGAGAAACACAATCTGCCGCGGAATACAGCAGGGGAGAATTTGGTAATTCTCCCAAAAGATGCAAAATTGAAAAGTAAATTTTGAAATCACTTGCTACAATGACAGCAACCATTCACTGCAAAACAATCAGAGAGACAGCTCACAAAATGGGTTGGAATTGTGGAAGGAGATAGAATTGCGCAATTGGAAAAACCTATTGTGTGGGTTTTCCCATAGAAAATATATATTGTTTAAATTATTGCTAGTTCAGTATAGTTAAAGGAGTGGGATAACATTACTTTTTACTGTAGAATTTGGAAGCATGGGACAACTATACCTTACAGAGACATCCAAATCAGAAACGCAATTCATTTCTTTTGATCACCACCTTATCAATGAAACATATGAACATAATATTTAGGTATAAAATAGCCATTGACTCACAGGTAAATGTAGAACACTATGGTAGGATAGCCAAACCCTATGATGAGGATTTCCAGGTAGTTCCAGGTGTCACTCCAATACTTCATCTTGTCCCTGCACATTTCCTTCAGCTCTTTGTAGGTGTAATAAAACATGAAGAAGATGAAGGTAATTTCACAGATCAGTAGGAACAATCCAAAGCCTTCATGGTAGAACAGCAAGCGGATTGGTTTCAGCTTCATTTGTGACACAAGCTGTCCATCTGGACTCTGCTCAAAGAGCATGGTCACAGAGCAAAACAAGTTCACCTGAAACATTCCCAGATTATGCATATAAGTTCATCCCAGAACATATTGTATCTTGTCATCATACTTGGGCATTGTAAACTGAGAACTCAATCAAAATGGCTCTGGTTCTCTCATCAATCCACTGCAGTTGCTCCAATGTGGTGAACATGTTCTGTAAGTCTTGGATTGTTTGGGATTGTCGCAGCTTGACAACATATCTGAAATTATGTAATTCTAGACAGTAATATTCTTTTTTTTTACCAACTTTTCAAGCTGCTGTTTTACCCTCCACCGCTGTACCAGTCCAGTCGTCCCCAGATGGGGTATCCATCCAATTTGTTGTCCTGTTGGTACTTGTAATACTCATCTGACTTGAGCGCGACATCTGGTGGTACAGCGAGATTCTGATAACTCTTGTAACTCCTCCAACCCGGATAGAAGTCGTGTCTCTCCTCGTCGTAAACGCTGGAGAACCCATGGCAAGCGACTTCGTCTTCAAACATGGCATAGATTTTCGGCTCCACTCTACATGTACCTAAAAATAGTGGGATCAAATATTTTTATATATTGTATTTTACAATTAAACTATTTACTGATGTGAGGGAAATGACTCGCTTTCTTTTATCCTGACTTGTCGAAGCAACGCGTAGCCCAACAGCAAGTTGACCCGATCCCTGAGGAAATTCCTCTCACTTGGCAACACTGACGCGTTGTTGTAGTTATTGGATACAATGAAAGCCGGTGCGAAAACGTCTCTGGCCCAGTTGTAGAACTTAGGCAACAGGTTAATCTGCAGGTATGACAAAAAAGCAGGATGTCAGAGACAGATGTCGCGTCAATCGCCAACTTCACCAAACATAAAAATATGTAACATGACTGATTCAATAAACCCACGTGCCCAATACGAACCCCCGAAAAAAAATTAACCCAATTTACTCGTATAACATACTAAATTTTTCCTGAGGAAAAAATATGATTTGGGCGACACCTGTGTGACGGGAAATAAAATCGAAGATTTGGGACATGTGATGGTAGTAAAGGCGGAATCTCACTTGACTATAATATTACTGAGTTTTTGAAAAATGACACATAATCTGCAAAAGACAGAAAGTCAAAATGCTACTGTACTGTACACATATTCAGCAGGAATAACTTGAAAATGAAATCTTAAAGGATCAAGATAAATTGTTGGCTTTAGATGATTTTTCATCAACAATTCTCTGTAATTTGTTCATTCAACTAAACCTCATACAGAAACAAGCTGAAGACCTGGTGCTTTAAATTAATTTTTACATATATTTTGTTACCGATGTCAGGGAATGAATGGGTGTATGCATGCATGTCAGATGTCCAGTTGTATTTCATGTTGAATTGTATTTTCTTTTATTTTTGTTAGCAATTTGTGATTTCCTGCTCTGAAGTGATTAAAATGTCATTGAGTGGATTTGGGTTGGGCGGGAAGGGGGGGTTTGGTTGTGGAAATCTTGAGTGAACCTTGTGAATGCTGAAAAGTGGCAAATAAAGTGTTGTGTTCATTCTTTGAAAATGTTTTACCATAATTTATTTTGAAAATCTTTTTACTGTTTTAAAAATCATTCAATATAAAAATGTGTTTTCAGCTAAGTCCCTGCAAATTTTTTGTGTTGGAATTTTGCTGTATTTTGTCCACAGGAAAAATATTTATTGATTGATAATCCCTATAGACCCGCAGAAAGTTTCCTAATCACTTGATGCACAGATTAAGAAAAAATATTTGCCTTTTCTTTTCATTTTCTGGAACAGATTTCCCCTGATTTAGCTTGAAATTAATTTCAAAAACGCCTTGAAACTTTATCTGCGGTGGTTTTGACTAAAAAAAAAGATGTGATTTTAAAATGCACTGGTCTTTGCTCTTTGACTAATTGGCAAGGATATAGGAAAAAAATGATTGAAGAAGATTTCTGACTTTAAAATAGGTCCAATTGAACCCGAAGATATTTTCAAAGTGTGTTTTAAAAAAATGTTTCATGCAAGAATAATAATTTGTCCCACCAAAACTGTTCAAGAAAAACATAATAATCCACAGAAGAAAGCCCAGGTTTACAAAGAGTGGAGTCTTTTACATCCAGACACCCGGAAACCTTTTCCGAGTAGTCTCAGTTCGTGTCTTTTCAAGGTTAAGCCAGCCGACATCAGTTTCCTCAGCATCTACGGAACTGCTTGCTTAATGGCATTCGCTAGGGCCAAAGGTATGCTATTGTGTTATTCCTAGGTCTCTTTGTTTCGCATCCGTTGGTAAAGAACGTTTTGCAGGGTGTAAAATTGAAGGAAAAGAGCAAGATCGAAGTAGAAAAAGTCAAAGCGGTTGTCCACAGGCCTGTAACGGGTTTTCTTTGGTCCAACTCCTCCGCCTTAAAAAAAATATTATTGAAGAGTGAAAGATAAATTAATTGATCAATTGATATGTTCCAGTAGAGACTGTCAAAGTTTCATGCTAGATTTTGATCTCAAGAGTCCATTCAAACTTTTGTGAAAATACCTGACGCAAACTTCGTCATGCCAGTTTTACAACAAAAATAAACGAATTATCCTGCTATTATTTTTTCAACATTTTCATTGATCGGACAACATCTACAAAAATTCAGCGGAAATATCAGATTTAAAAGCGGGAAAAATGACAAAAATGACATAAATTCCGCAATTTTTATCTGACGTGAATAATTGAAATTGCATTTTCCCCCCTCTATAGGAACGCAAAATTAATTTTTGGTCTCTAAAGTTTTTTTTTTTATTTTTAGAACATGAGTCGAAATATATTGCCAAGCCCTGGTAAATGAAAGACTTGAATCCATTCAAGGAATTTTTCTGGACGAATTTTAAAATCTGGAATCTATAAATAACCTTCAAACTTATTGGAAAGTTAAGCGTCAAAAGTAAGCATCAACAAAATTTCCAGCCAATTTCCAATTTATTCCTGTCCCTTAAAAACATTAAGAATCTAATTGACTTCCAAACAAAGAATTCTCCAAATTTATTGCTGAAATAGTTTTCTCTACGTTTTTGGTTGTGAACTCCAGGAACCTGACCAAAGTGATTTTTATTTTATCTCCGAAAGAGGACTACAATTAAACTACAAAATCTTGATGTATGTTATCGCATTATAAAGGTCCTTTTAGGTTCAGACGCATTTTCAGTTTTCAAATAATAAAAAGGTCAGCACCCAGGAAATAAATTTTTCTGGGTGGCGCAAAATCGGCAAATTATTGGTCAGTCTAAAATATGTAAATTTAACTTTTTCACCTTCTTGAAGCCAGATTTCGTCGCCAGCCAGTTTGGGATCGAATTCATCATAGTAAACATCGTCGTCATCCTGGTCTACCTTCTTGCAGATGGCGCTGAAGATCATGGCCATGAGAAAGACCTTGATGGGCTGCGTGATGAGGACTGAGGTGAAGAAGGAGACAACCAGGGACGTGAGCCACTTGGTCGTTTTCTCATTGCCAAACATGATCCCGTAGGCAAACAAGAAGAACAGGGATGCCCCCATGGAAACAATCACTAGGAACCAAGCTATGTATCTGCACCACCTGGGGAAAAACATTTTTTGGCCTCTTCAAGTTACTTAGGAGCGACACCTACATTCACTCAAATGAGAACATTAGTTGTCGAGAAACAGTGGTAATTAAACAAAAATAAACGTTATGTAAACCGTGACGGACCTTTACATCCGGAATATGTTTCAAAGGTTTTTACACGAGTTTTACGGGACAATACGTCATGTAAAAACTTAAACAATGCAAAATAATTCATACTTGAAAAAAATCTCCATTGGCAAAACTTTTTTGTGCTCAGGTGAGACATTTCTTTGAAATTTTCAAGAAGCCCAAAGAAACACAGTACAATACTCAAATCCTCAATGTCATTCAGTATACAGTTGATCCCCACACAACAGACTTAATTTGTGCAACTGACCAAAGTCTGTTACGTGAAAAGTCTGTTATGCAAATTCAGTTGGGAAACAATGGAGGATGTGAAGGACTCATGTCCACTGGTGGCATGCACTTTTACAGACTGAAGTCTGTTACACATATTTGTCTGTTATGCAAGAAGAGAAACTGTCTCCAGAGGTGGTCTGTTCTGCAAAAATAATGTATGTTGTGCAGGAGGTCTGTTGTGTGGGAATTGACTGTATATTTAGCATATCTGTGGAAAATAATTTTCCATGTTGTTGAATATCACAATTGCAACATTTTTTTCATGAGTTCAGTGAGTCCTATTGTTTTTGTCTACATTACACACTTTGAGAGAAGCCTCCAAGAAATACAGTATTGGAAATGCTTTGTCATGTGGCAGATGTTTAATTTGTTTAATTAGTCTGAGATGCTTTTGCTTCTCAAAAATCTCCATTGAAAAAGCTTTTACATGTTAAGTTGAGAAATTTTGTTTTATTTTTGAATGGGGTTGTCAACATTACAATTGAGATATTTTTGAGAATTATGTAGAAATAGTGTCAACATCTCACCATGGCAGTAGGAATTTCTTTTTCCTTTCCATTCGCTTTTTCACCATGACATTACCTGAGGCATCCACATATCTAATCTCACTTGCTGCAGAACTAGTTGAGGCATCTTGCACTCTTTGTCACCATTAATTTGTTTTTATTTGCAATACATTTGGCACTGCCTGGAAATGTAGGCCTTATACAAAGTTTCCAAAAATGTGCTCAAAATGCCCTGTTATGCAGTACATTTTTGAATTTGTGTGCAAAATAGCTCATACTTTATTAAAAATCTCCATTGGCAAAACTTTTTTGTGCTCAGGTGAGACCTATCTTTCAAAATTTCAAGAAGCCCAAAGAAATACAGTACAATATTCAAATCCTCAATGTCATTCAGTATACAGTTGATCCCCACACAACAGACTTAATTTGTGCAACTTACCAAAGTCTGTTACGTGAAAAGTCTGTTATGCAAATTGAGTTGGGAAACAATGGAGGATGTGAAGGACTCATGTCCACATGGTGGCATGCACTTTTACAGACTGAAGTCTGTTACACATATTTGTCTGTTATGCAAGACCAGAGGTGGTCTGTTCTGCAAAATATGCTGTGCGGGAGGTCTGTTGTGCGGGAATTGACTGTATATTTAGCAAATCTGTGGAAAATAATGTTCCATGTTGTTGAATATCACAATTGCAACATTTTTTCATGAGTTCAGTGAGTCCTATTGTTTTTGTCTACATTACATACTTTGAGAGAAGCCTCCAAGAAATACAGTATTGGAAATGCTTTGTCATGTGGCAGATGCTTAATTTGTTATCTGAGATGCTTTTGCTTCTCAAAAATCTCCATTGAAAAAGCTTTCACATGTTAAGTTGCTGAGAAATTTTGTTTCATTTTTGAATGGGGTTGTCAACATTACAAATGAGATATTTTTGAGAATTATGTAGAAAAAGTGTCAACATCTCACCATGGCAGTAGGAATTTCTTTTTCCTTTCCATTCGCTTTTTCACCATGACATTACCTGAGGCATCCACATATCTAATCTCACTTGCTGCAGAACTAGTTGAGGCATCTTGCAAGTGTCAACATCTCACCATGGCAGTAGGAATTTCTTTTTCCTTTCCATTCGCTTTTTCACCATGACATTACCTGAGGCATCCACATATCTAATCTCACTTGCTGCAGAACTAGTTGAGGCATCTTGCAAAAGCTGATCCTCTTGTTCCAATCTTTTTCTGTCAGCAAAGGGGTTATTTTTACGCTCATCAAGTTGTTTCCTCCCTTTTACAAAGAAAAGACTGGCATAAAGTGTCATTAAAATGGAGTATGGTATTTGTTTGTGTCATACTTTGTTCCCCTATGGCCTTTTCTATCCTGGAGTCCCTCAACACTCTTCTTCTTGAATTCCTGAAGAGGTAGATGATGAGGAATGATGGAGGAAATACTATGAGATTGGACATGACTCCCACACCAATCTGAAAAGTTGGAGAAAAATATGATTTAAAAATTATAGAACAAATTTGAATTTAAAAAAGGTATTGATACCTGTTCAGGGCTGATACTGAAAGGGCCAAACTTCATTCCACTTGCAGTGTCATCAGCAGTTCTTTGGTACCACATTGCATTCACAAGCATGGATAAGTAGAGCAAAGCAACACAGCTGGACACTCTTTGCACTCTAGTAAACCTGCTTCTTGGTGGGCGCATGAAAATGGAGAACCACAAGTGGCCATCTTGCAGATTCTTCTTGGATGTTGATTGGAACAAGTGTGCAAATTGACTCATTTGTTCTTTTCCTGCTACTGGGAGCAATCTGTCAATCTGAGAGGAAAAAATCAATTCAAAGCCTGAATGATAAAGTTGGTAAAGAAGTTTTGAAGAAGCTTTGTGTACCAGGCCATCACCCTTCTCCACAGCAAACCATTCATTTGCAATGAATTGGTACTTTTCTCCAGTTTGTAGATCCCTGATGACAATGAAATTCAAGTACCAAGAAGCTAGCTGGCCCTTGCCAGTGTTGTCATGCCAAATCCTCAAGTAGTTCAATGGCCCCATTGGTCTTTAAAAAAAAGCACATTGTGAAATGTCCTATTCATGAAACCATTTTTTTTAGAATTTGACAGAATAACCAACCTCCCAGTTGCCATCACAAAGTTGTCAAATTGGCCAGACTGGAACACCTGTCTCTTCAAGTACGTTTGGTCACCAAAGGTTCTGACATCAGTTTCATCATACTCTCCACTCAGTATGAATGATACTTGAGAATGAGTTGCACATTCTGCTCCTTGACCAGTCATCACCAAGATTTCATACAAATACTGCAAAATGAAAGCAAAGAGCTTTGTATAGAGTTAACTGAAAAATTAGCACCCCTCCATGTTTGTTGTGCAGAGCAGTGTTCCCAACCCAGACTGGCAAATTATCATAAAATTGTTTGTAGACCAGAAAATTCCCAAGAGATTTTCCCCTATGGACTGACAAAGTTTTATAAAATTTTTGCAAATGATTTTTTTATTGATACTTTACGGCAGGTATTCAAAAGTTTCTGCTTTTTGCAAACATTAAGTTAAGAACCAAGGCTGAAGCAGCTACAGCATTTCAGAGAAATTAGCAATTACAGAGCAATGTCTTGCAAAAATTAGGAAGGTGGGCTTGAAGAAAGGTTTCTCAGAATGAAAAATTAAAATAAATTATTTCAGCCAATAAAAATTTGTCTGATGCAGCATTAGAAGAAAAGCCATGTTTTGTTTTTCATCAGATGATTTCAACTGCCATTGTATTTTCAATCTTCAAATAAATTTAATAGACTGCATTGCTAATTTTGCTAAATTTATTGTACTGAAGACCATTTCTGGCAGACTTAAAAACTTAACAACTAACATATCCAAAATCAAGACCTCCTTCACTAATAATTTTTTAAAGTTTCAAACCTTGTCTTCAGGTTTGTTGTCTGGGAGAGGAATGACACCAAGCTGTTCCACATCCTTCTTGTCCTTCTTTCTTGCCCAGACTACCAAGAAGATGTACAAACTTGTCACCACTATCAAGGTGCAGTAGATGGTCAAGTTGTCCAAAAATCCTAAGAAACCAAATCAAAATTGGGTTGGAGAATAAAAAGTTCCATTCAACACCTGTGGTGTTGAAAATTGTCAAAAATTGTTCAAAATTTGTTGAACAAACCTGCATTAGCAAACACATAGTCAAAGTCAATAGTGTTCGGCATGACAAAGAACCCTGAGCCAAAGTTGGTCAGATGATTGCATCCACAGACTGTATGTGTTGTATTGGCATCCAGAATCTGCATATTCAGAATATGAAGAACATTTCAGGAATTTTTCCTATGGAACATCAATATCCTGAACCTCCAACATCCTATAGTGTTTCTTTGTACATTCATGATTACCAGCATTTTCAAAATTCTTACAGTGCATCCTTGTGGTGACCAAGCATCAGAGATCTTGTCATAAAACAAGCAGCCAGAAGAAAACATCCTGAGTGTGATGTTAGTGGAAATTCTGGTGGTTACATTGTTCCATGTCAGGTTATTTGCCTTGGGACTCTGGAAGTAAGCTTCTGTTTCAGCGCCATCTACAAACTGCAACAGCCCCACCCAGTAGGTCCCAGTCCAATTTGCCACATAGATGTCGTTCACAAACACATTGTAGATGGGGAATTGATACTCCTTGGTGTCATTGTTGTAAGGGTCCCATGGTTGCAGTCTTTTGTCCGTATCTGAAGAATGCCTTTCATTTTCTAGAATATGAAAATATTTTGACGTATTCGAGATTTTGCTCACAGTTGTAATGCCTCAGTTTCCTCAGGTCATAAACAAAGTCGTATTCTCCAGTGAAGGCATTTGGCTGCTTGTATCTGCCAATAAAAACTGCAAGTTTTGTGGAAACATTCGCTGTGGCGATCTGAGCGCTCATGCCAGAATACGGGTTGGAAATGTTGAACTGGAAGTAGACCATGTGGTGGCCTCTGTGTTGAAAAAGCTTGAATCATTTAAATTGTTTATTCTATCGAGCGCTAGGTGTCGCACCGTCTAGCAACCGGTGTTGGGAAGAAGCTCATTTCAGGCATAGTCGCGGACTCAGTCAAGGTTCCATTTTCATCCCTGCTTCCAATAGGGATGCTTATGACAATGTCTTGCTCTATATCCACAACATCTACAATTTCTGTAGAAAATCTGTAGTCAGATCGGGTTTCAGTTGTGTAGTTGGTGTAGTTTTGGGTATAGGATGAGTTGACAACTTCCAAGTACACATTAGGAATGTCCACTGTGTAGTTGTATGCTTCCTTGATCCTCTTAATCACCCTGACCATCATGTTCCTGGACGTTTCTGAGATTTGGGAAGATGCACCTTCCCCAAAAGACTGTTGATGAATAATGGAGGCATGTTGACAAAATATGTTACTCAAGTATACTTCAATAAACCTCCTTATTGTGGGGGTTTAGAGAGGAAAACATATTTTAAATATTATACAGTACTCTCAGAGAATGCACATTAGTTGAGTAAATGCAAGTAAATCACTTCATACATTTTGACAGGGGTTGTATAAGACTATAGTACTGTATAGATCATTTCTTTGTTTATATTGCAGGGATTTTAAAGCAAATTATAATGTACAATAATTGAGTACGCCCCTTACCCTCAAATAAAAGTAAGACAGGCACCTTTAATTTCCCCCCTGAAATTTGGATAAAAGCTCTATACCAATCATAAGATGCTCAACCCATTTTTCATGATACAGTATAAGCATTGAAATGTTATAGGTCAAAATATTATACCTTTTAATCTATCCAAATTTGATTTTTGACTTAAATTTCACATTAATTCAGTAGTTCTTCAAATGGATTCAGTATTTTATTTTTAATATTATTGCTGTTCCAAAATGGATCAAACATTTTAAATGGTCAAAAAGATTGATACAACACCTGAACAATTGTATTCCATGTGATTGCCTGTACAGCAATGGTCTGGTTGAAGGCTGTTTCATCACATTCCATTCCTTGTGTCAAGACACAGTAATCAGGGAAGTCATAAATCCCATCACCCAGCCACAAAGTTTTGTTGTCCAGTTCCCTTGCTTTCATGCTGAGGGATGATAAAGACTTTATGCTTATAGATTTTCTGTCAAGAAATAGGCCACATAAATTATTTATTTATAGAGACTTACACCACAAGTTCCATGTCAGTGCCACAACTACCAATGACTCTCACAGGTGTTTCAGCTGCCAGGAGGATTGAAGTTATTTTCTGTTGCATGGATTCCACTGCTTGCACAATTGCATCAGTGTCATTCTTTGCTTTGGCCTTTTGAGTCTGTGATTGATGCATGAAATGTTGAATATCAAAATCCATGTGATCATCACTGAATCCAATTTAAACATGAGAAAAAGCAGAAGGCACTCTGTATTAAGGAAAACTGCATTTTGAAATGAGTCACATTATTCTGGACTCTCCTGTAGATAGACATGGACTTTCAAGATTCACCTCAAGAACTGATTGCTCATATGCAATCATCTCCTCCAACAGCAGATCATCAGGACTCAAGGTTGTGGTGGTACTGACTGAGGGATCTGAACCAGGCAAAGGAGTTACGGTGGTTGTCATCCCCATCCTTCTTTCCAAGTCCAACTTTGCCATTGCAAATTGTGAAGCATTCATTCCATTCCAATTGAGCTCAGTTGGCAACACTTGGTCAGTCATTATCAGCTGAGCAGTTGACTGAGAAACAGACAAATACATTTGGTACAAGGAGTAACTTGAAATTTGACCTCCTGCAATTGGACCATCCTGCAATTTTATTGTCAAATTTGCTGGGAGGTTGACTCTCAATTGGACCTCTGCCCACAATTTGACCTGCTTCAGCCAAATTTTCATGTGTTTTTATGCTGCTCTTGACCCTTATGCCGCAAAGGGTTCTTTATAGCATAGCGTGGCAAAATCAGACTTTTTGTATTCTGCATTGTTTTCATTTTTTCTGGAGGTCACAAACCCCATCAGCCAAGTTTGGTGAGGCAAAGTTGGAAAAATCAAGGGAAATGAGGTCTCTTCAATTTTTCAAAGTTCAACTTTTCTGGGGTTGGCCTAAAAACTAGCATTGTCTTTAAAACCAAAAATGGAAGCTGCAAAACAGTTTAAAAATTTTTCTGCTCATACAACATTTGGAATTGTATTGATAAGATCCTGAATCCAGCCACTATAAGGAAACATTCCAAAAATTTGTTCCACCTCAGCTCATTTCCTTCAGCTATTCCTTTTTCATACCTTCTTAAATCTTCTCCAGTGCTGCTTCCTTTGGCTTTGATATCTTCTTTAACTTATTCATTTTCAAGAAACAGTGCAAGCGTAAGAATGAAAGTAGCAAGCTTTTTCTACACTAAAGATGAAAGAGGATTGGAAAGGTCAAGATGGGCTTGTCCCAAAGGTACCAAGACAATTGCAGGATAGGAAAAAAGCCTCAGCCCAGAGGACAATTTTTTCAGCAAAAAAAAAAAAAAAATTCAGGGATTTTCCCCAACTTTGCTGTCCATTCCCTGGACTGCTTTTTTTTTATCAGCCCCAGGAGTCAGTAAATTTTGCTTTAAAAAAAGCCCAACTTTGTTGCCCAAGGGTAAATCAATTTTACACAGTGCCTTGCAATTTACCACATTTCAATTTGACCCTAGTCCAGCAATGGATTATGAGGGTATAATTGCAGGGTACCACCTGTATCATGTTTATGGTCATAGCTAGTTACTTTAGCTAGAAAATAGTGTCGTTACCCTCAAAAGAGCTGTCATGGCACATAGCATGGACTCCACCATCCCTGCAACTTCTGATGAGTCTGACAAATCAATGTTTGTCAGAGTCTTGGTTACACAGTCTCCTGTGAGGAGCTCAGCTGCCAAAGCTCTCCCTGTCAAATAAGTCTTCATGAAGAAACAACCAAGGACTGAACATTAATTCTCTCTGGCATTACCATTGGTGTCAGTGGTTTGTCCTTGGCCAACCATGTTTCTTAAGCTGTCAAACAACTGCACACAATCCAAGACACTGTCTGCATTGATGGATCTCATTTGTTTCAAATAAAACTCTTGCTTCTGTGAAACAAAAGTATTCAAGGGATTTTAGGTGGTTTGCTGAAGTATAAAGGCAAACAAAACTTAAATTATGGGATGCTTCTTAACTGTCAATAACCAGCATATAATGGATGAAGAATTTTGCTAATAAATTGTTTTTCTTTTTTGTTCTTGCATACAATGGAATGAATCATTCCAAATTTATTTATTCTTCTTCCCAAGAATGATTAATCTTTGTGTGAAAAAGGACAAAAAAATTTGGAATGCATCAGTACTTTTACAATTAAAAAAATTGAAATGAACAATGATTCAAAAAAACATGGACAGCATCTAACACTGCTTAGACTAGTCTATCCTCAGCCTGCCTTTTCAGACCTTAAGGCAGATAATTAAAAAATAAATAGAAGTCTCCTAAAATTATAAGATTATAAGAAACACCACAAGCAGAAACCAGGCTTTGGATGATTTTTTGAAGAGAAAATAAATAAATAAACGGAAATGAAAAGTGCCTTTGGAAAAAATGCAAAATGCCCCTGGTTTTTAATTTGAGGCAAACAAAATAATCATTGAATAGTTTTGAAAAGTACAGAAACTTAAGAAAATATTTTCATTTTTTTCTATGCATGAAATTTTTTTAGCAACTTGCTACATGGATGGAAAATGCTTGCAAAAACTGGAAAGGTTTCACTTATTGTCTTGCAGTACATCTGAAACCTTTAAAAAAATCTGAAAAAAAATCCCAGAACCTTATAATTGGATGAGCAAAATGGTAAATGTTTCAAATGTTCAAAGTGGTGGCTAGTCTAGAAATACCCAAGGCCTATCAGAAATGGGACAACCCTTGTATAAGTTTTAAAGGTTTTAAGCAGAAGTTTAATCACATTGTTCTTTTGGGAATTCTTACAGTTCCTCTACTCTAAACAAAGTTTTAAAATATGTGCCAAACTGTGTTTCAGGCTACATGCACAAACTACTGTACTTGAAGGTTGGAGTTAACCATCATGTTCAAGTTTTCATATTTTGAGGAAAATGTAAATTTGTAAAAATTGGTTTTACTTTTGCTGCAGCAGCCACTGAGTTGATTTCCTCAACAGCGGAGTCTCTGTTGTTGAAGTATGGATCAGTGGTTGAAGGAGCCTCAGTTGTGGTGAATGTGGTGGTTGTGGATGGCTGAGTTGTGGTAGTTGGAGGCTGCAGGAAATATTCAACAGAGTGATTTCAGAAAAATTCCCATATATACAGAATCAGTGTTCCCCAACATCATGTCCACAGAATTTTTTGCCAGTCCATGGAAAATTTTTCATTATTGTGATACATTCATCAAAATTAGGACTTCGTGATGTCTTTTATTTTTGTTTGAAATCTGAGAAAGACTATGATGGCAGTTGAAATTATCTGATGAGAAAGAAATGTTGGCTTTTCTCTTTGTAAAACTTCAGACACATTTTCACCCGCTGAAAAAAACATTATATTAATTTTTTTATTTTCAGAAACCATTCTTCAAACCCATGTAATATTCGAAGTGTTTGAAGATGTTCAACTATAGCTGCTTCATTGGTCCTTGATTCAATAAAGAAACAGAAACTTTTCAAATACCTGCCATTAAGTCTTTCAAACAAAACTTTGATGGTCACTAAAATTTTTTTTTAATTTTGCAGCTCTGCTGGCCTAGAATGTTTGGGGACTGCTGTGCTAAATTACAGTACAAATGTAAAATACATCGGGGATAAGGGGGAGGATGGTAAATTAATTTACCGGTTCCAGTTCAGGCCAGCCAGTTTCTTTCAGCAACTTTATGGCGAAAACCACTTGGTTCAACCGGTTCTGGTCTCCTTCTCCCAAGTTCCTCGTCATTTCTTGCGAGTCCAGCCAAGTTTCGAATTCATCCGGCGACGGTTTCGATACCTTTTGATAAAAAAAAAAATAGTTCTTCAGAGTGTGTTACATTAATAGAGAAAAATAGGTCTAAAAATTTATTACCGTGACATTTTCTAAGAATATTTCAGTGAAAGCTCCAAATGCGTCGTGGACTTCAGCGGAAAGCGACCAATCGCCGAACGGAAGCACGAATCTGGACTCACTTTCTTTGCCGTACCTCAACTGTTTTGTGTACATCAGCCCTGACATTGGACGAGCTGAGGAGAAAAAAGGTGTTTTTTTGAGTTTTAAAATAAATTTCTTGACAGAAACATTTTCGAATTTTCAACCAAACGAGGCCCATAATGAAGAATCGTTCTTGCAAGGCGTGGCTCAATTATCGTAATACTGTGAGACCCCCACCTGTGGACACCTCAACCTGTGGACAATTCCATACAGGGACACTGATTTCCCCATAAAAAATTAATAAAATGAGCTCAACATGAGGACAGTGACTCAACATATGGACATTTTGTGATAAAATTGCAAATACATTTCAGGCCAAATTACATTAAGAGACAGATATTTCCAACCCCAAAATTGATGTAAGAAAAGTTCTTGGGCATTTCTCTCACCAATTTACCACCCATTTCGCTAATGACAAAAAATTACCCCCAGCATAGAGGGACTTATTCCTTCTCTCTTTTTCACTTGACTGTTTTTTTTACAGAGAATGCCAACATATCCATGTACTATACAGAGGTATTGGTATTCAATTCCCCAAATGTCCATATTGTCTTAAAATATATTGATTGAATTGGTTTAAATTGGAACAAAAGTTTTATTTTCATGGAATCATGGTGAGTGTTTTGTACATGAAACGGCAATTAAAATTATATAATGTAAGCCTACCGGAAAATGAGACTCAACTTGGGGACATTTTGACTTAGGGACACTCTTGAATTCTTGATACACCAATTATGTCTGCAACTCTGGGTCTAAATGTACTTAGATCAAATCAGGGTTCCTGGAATTTTATGTAAGGGTTAGCAACATGACAAAGGCACTGGAGAATATAATTTTTTGCAAGCAATTATACGTTGTAATGCAATCCTACTCTAATTTTGCATGACATTAACCTGAAAGCATTTTTCTGGTTACATTTCAGAAAAAAAAGAAATGCAGTAACTTATTGATCTCACATAAAGCTTCACTGCAAACAAAGGTTGCTAAAATTTGAAATTTTAAACTTGACATTCTACAAAATGTGTCTTGCATCATAATCACTGTGAATTTCCATTATGCCTTCAAAAATGGCGATGACATTGGCTATTGCCGATTTTTCGCAGAGCTCGAAGAAACAACTTAGTCATTCTAGCAGTCATGGAATTTGGTCTTTTAAAATTTTAAATTTATAATCCTAAATACAAGGTTACACAAAAAATTACTCCATATATGTTTTAATCATGTTTTCTGAATCGCTGAAATGAACTTCTTCTCTATGTAAGAATTGGTGACTGGTTTTAATAGCGAAAAAAAAACTTTTAATCTTATATTTGCTCGCACTTCCGGATTTTCTGAGCTTCATGATGTTTCGCTCGCAATATTTTTGCCACGCAAAAATTTAGTTCGTCCTTCAAACGGAGATGAACAATAAATTCCAAAGTCCGGGTTGAATTTCACATTACCCCCTTACCAATCAGAACATATCTTCCGAGTGCATCATCCTCGGGGTCCGTGAAGTTGTTGCAATAAAAGTCGAAGTCTTCCAGAAGCGATTTTCCCAGCTCATTTCCACCTTTTTTTTGTTTTGTTTTCACGCGAAGAAAAATTCCGGAAAAAAAAACACGTTTCTGAATCATGTTTCCACGAGTGCGAGAAAGGAATTTACTGGAATTTCCAAACGAGTCGAATGACAGGATCTTGTTTTTCGGTGGATCAATTCCGCAAATCGCGTCCGGGCCCAGGTTTCTCCTCAAGTTCACCGCTGCTCGTCCAATTTCCCCGTCCTTCAAATTTCAATCACCGATTTTGAAGTATATTTCGAAATTTTATTTAAAAATCATTTTTATGAGCCGGAAGGAATTCGGCGAAAATTGATAATGTCATTTTTCCACGCGCAGGTTATTTATTTGACTACAAAAGGCGCGCTTCGCTTTTTTTTTACCGGATTCAATTTCGCAGTTGACATTTTAAGTGAAGTTTTTCTCAAGTTCAGTATGTGCTTGCGCGGTGTGCAAAAAAAAAGAAACCGGAAATAAGACCTGAGTAGTGACGAGAAGGTCGACGAAGAATTCGTCGACGAAGCTGTAGTTGGAGTAGAGGTCTTTTGAAATGGCCAGCTGATGTTCGTCGTGTCCAACAGCCCATTGAGTGACATTCAGGGTTTGCGTGACACCCTGTACATTGATGGAAATGGTCCAGCTCCAGGTTAGTGATGATTCATCCATGCAATTCTGGGTGCAAATGGCGATCAGACTTGTTCGCATGCTCGGGTTGAAGCGCATCCCCGTTTCATCAGTCAAGCACATTTGAGTGGTTTGACACCTTGGGATGATTCAGAAAATGTAAGATACTGTACAGTCAACCCTCAGTTTAGTGCCACCCTCCCATAGTGCCAAAAATTTCCCTGGTACAAATCTCCCTTCATTATGGTTTTGAGGAAAAACCCTGATTTAGTGCAGAATCACTTACAGTATGGTGAAACAAGGAATCTTTGTCATGTTGAAAAAAGGGGCAGAAATTGAAGTAAACTTTGGCATTTTTCCAAGGATATCATTGGACTATAAGATTTCTGACTGCTCAGAATCACACCCCTGTCAAAGCTGACCTTGGGTGGGGAGGGGGTTTGGATGTGGAAATCTTGATTTACCTTGTGAATGCTGAAAAGCGGCAAATAAAGTGTTCTGTTCATTCATTCATTCATTCATTGAAGGCATGCAACAGTTAATTTGCCCAATGAGTCTTTCACTTCCTTTCAAAACACATCACCTTAATTTTTATTACCTTCTCATTCCTTTGTCATGAAAATAACAGCTAAAAGGCCTTCAAAAATTCAAGTTACCAGGTTTGAGAGGAAAAGACTTTAGTTAGAGAGGTTAACGCAATGTTTCTAAGAGAATTCAGACAGGGACTTCCAGAAAAAAGCCGAGGGATGAATTATAAAGAAAAACATAGATTTTCAACAGGATTTCTGTGATTCACTGAGACATTTTAATCACTGGTTTTAGAAAAATGATGGTCTTCATGTTCACCTGTTTCTTTTTCAACTATGACAGATATCATCCTTTCAAAACCAGAAGAAGTTCAGATACAATAAAAATTACTTTATATGAATGAACACTCATTAAAACCTGCTCAAAATCACAAGGAAAATGGTGAAAAAGTTGAAAGCTTTAAGATTTGTTTATTAGTAATAATTGTTCAATTAAACGTTTTCATTTTCAAGACACAATTGTGTCTAATCCAAGGTTTTCAACTATTTTATATGTTATATGGGTTTTCTACAATTAAGCTTTTTCCTACAGATATTTGTTTCAATTCCCAGGAAAATTTTCTGTAAAGAGAGTCAACCTGTACAATAAATTCATCTTGTAATTATCATTCACCGGTCCATTTTAAAATGTGTGACTGTGCCCCTAAATATTTTTGAAAACTTGATAAAATGAAAAATCCGCAAATCAAAAAATAAGAATAAATATAAAACATGCAAAATGGGCAATTCACTTTACTTAGTGTGTCATTTCTGGTGATATTTAATGCTCTTAGCAGCAAAAGAAAGTTTCTGAAAGTTGACAGCTATGTTTCATCCCTTTTTAATTACAGTTTGTATGAGTTTTGAAGATATTTGACCAAGTTTTTGCATTTCCTCATGGCATCATGGTACTATTTTAAAGATAGGAAATTTTGTATCCTGATTCAATTCATTTCTACCTTACCCTATCTCAATGAGAGGAGGATTTCCTTCAACTATTTCAACCTGCAGAGCCTTGTAGTCCCTTCTCATGCCCTTCTTCACTTCTGCTATGATTTCATATGTCTGAGGCCAGGTCCTGAACTGTGACATGTTGAGTACTAGATACTGATCAGATATGTTCAACAGACCTGTAAGAAAACATGTTCAAGTCATGTCTATCAATGGCTCATAAAAAAAATTGAAAATTGGCTTGAATTAAGTCTGATGTTGAGATTTCAGTCAACAATTGTAACTGATGTGCAATCTCTTTTTTATTTATGCTTGATGAGGTGCTCACCTGGTCCCCATCCAAAGCAGCCTCCCAAGTCTGGGTATTCTACCTGGATGGTTTCATTTCCATAGGTATTATTGGTTTCATAATACAAGTTATTCCTTTGGGTGTCCAGTGGTACTGATATGTAGCTGTCATTGTACTTGCCAGCCCAGTATGGCATTCCTGTTTCTGTCAAGTTTTCCCCTTGCCTTTTGCACCACCATTTGATCTCAAAGTCCTGGATGAATAATTTTGTTCAATTGCATATATTTGTTGCTTAAACTGTTAGTAGATGACCTGGTTGTTGTCTGGGTCATCAGGATCTATAGACCACAAGGTTGGCAACAAAGCCAATGACTGGTTCACACCCCTTCTGTATAGAGTCTCTCCTCCTTTGGTTAGATAGGCTTCTAATGACGTTGGAGTGATTATCAAGTATGAGTAAGCACTTCTTTGAAAAGGTGCTTTTTTGTCCAATTCACTCTCCTCATTGACTGCAAACATTGAACCATAGAACTTATTTATACCCTGTAGAAAAAGTATTTGACTTACCCAGAATTGTCATGGTGTATTTTGCTCTGTAGATCCCAACATCAAGGTATCCTGGAGGAATGGCCAGTATGGATTTGTTGTGTGAAGGTAAAGCAGAGATGTTTGTAATTACTTCCCTGAGCAAACCCAATCTGCAATTTATGAAAAGAAAAAATATTCCGTGAGTCCTCTTACAGCACATTAACCAAATGTTGCATTTGAGCAATTCATCTGACATCTTGAAGTATGTTTTACAAAATGAATAAACACTTTATAAACTGTTCATAATAATTCATTAGTGCGGATAGTGCCTCAAGTTAAAAAATCTGTACATTCCTGAAAGTTGGTCAGATTTCTGGCCATTTGTGGCTCAGGTTTCAAGTTCAAATTTGAATGTTTTTCTGGAAAAAGTTGCATTCAGTTTGCAGTTGTGTCATATTTTGCAACCTAAAATATCGTTCAAAGCTGGAATATATTTCTACAAAGGGTATTTATACATCAAGTTATCAAAATATTGCCATTGGAAATGATCTAAGGTTTCTAATTACACAGAAATGTGTAACATCTGGACACTTCATTTGTTTGATGATTGAATGTAAGGGTAAGAAGCAAAGACACATGATTTTGGCATTGGCTTACGTTGGTTCAACCTTCACTATTTCCCAAGCCTTCTTGGTGACCAAAGTAATGTTGCAGTCCAAGAATCCCAGGGCAACCAATTGTGTTGTTCTTCCCTTAATGTACTTGGGTGCTGCCCAGAACCTGGTGTCATTGAACCTGATCCAAAGATGTGGTGGGGCACAAGGAATTCCAGAGATAGGAAACTGTACCACTTGGTAGTCCATTGACAAGTCATTGTGTGCTCTTGCTTCCACCATGAAAAATCCTCTTTCATAGTAAGTGTGCTTTGGATTGGAGAAAATTTATCTCAAGGATGGATTCATTTGGCATTTTTATAAAGCCAAGACTTACAGTGAACTCCATCTTCATGTCTATGTATCTCACCCACTTGTAAGTGTAGTTTTTTCCATACCTCTCATCACAGAAGTCCTTGATATCAGAAGCTAGAAAAGAAAGAAAAATCAGGATTAAGAAATCTCTACAATAAAAATACATACGATTTCTTGCAGTAAAGGCTTCCATGGTAGAATTGTCTCCCCAGTCAATCATCAGACATGTATATGTTCCTATTTGCTCAAAGGTAAGTACAAAGTACTTTGGTGAACCTTGTTCAGCAATCAATCCCATGTCTGTTATCTCCAGGCCTGAGATTGACTCCAGAACTGTTGAAGTGGAAACTTCATTTTGATGTTCTTCTATAAATTTTATATCTTACAAACCATTCAATGTGTAGTTGTACTGAGGAGCTTCTCCTTGGAGAAAGTTCCAAGCAAACAATGCACTGTAGTATGTTCCAGGCTGTAAAACAAGGAGTGATGCCATGACCAGAATTCTTTTGTTTGAGTTTGAAATACCTTTTCAAAGAGGTGGTCAACTCTTGAATTTGTAGTGTTGGTCAGCAAGACATATTCATTGTTCACCAGAATTCTGAGTCTGTATTCCTGAACATCACCTTGATCCATGGTTGGGAAGAAAGTTACATTCCTTTCTAATGGGAAACTGTTTTGCAAAGGTCCAAAGCCATCATGGTACTCCTCAGCCCCTGTAAATCTCTTCATTACAATCCATTTTTATGAAATGGCTTTGTAATCAACTGCTCACCTCTGGGAAGAAATGGCAAGAACTGAACAACTGACCCAAGATTTATGATTCTCTCATAAATCTGAACCTGTTTTTTTAAAAGGAAGATTGAACTGGAGATGTGTTATGATTTTTGCTCAAATTTTTTCTTACCCTGTTGGTGATATTGATCATGGAGGCCAGATTGTGAATCTTGATTTGGACATAATAAGTTCCCCTCTTCTCATAGGTTCTGTTTGAAGTAAAGTTGAACCCTTGTCCAAATCCCTCATCTATGGGGAACTGTATTGACTGTCCATCCCCATACTCCAACAACGCAGTGGCATCTGTTGGCAGCCTCATGCCAATGGGATACAATGTCTGAAACACAACATCTCCAGGTGGCAGAAGCACTGGTGCATCATCCATCAGCTTCCAGGCAGTTGTAACTGGATACTGGGCATGTAATGTATGGTTCCATGTGAATGTGCCCCATTCATTCTTCACTGTGATTCTGATTTGGTAGATTCCTTCATTGACATAGGTGTGGTTCCTTGAGAAACTTGAGTTGGTGCAATCTATTTGAAAAATTGGAAGCTTTTTAAAATTTTAAAACAAAAAATAAAATCTAAATCAATCTGGAAACTGTGCCTCAGAAAATCAGTTCCAACACGCAGAATAAACTGGTGATGAACCTCCAGAAAGAAATGAAAACCAATTACTGTACACTGAGATCCCAACATTCGGACACTGCCTGACATATGGACAATTTGAATTTGGGATGCTTAGTACTTAAAAAATATGCCCCCAACATCCAGTGACTCAAAATATGGTTTTCCTCAAGATTTTTGAAAGAAGTGAAACATATTGTTGTCTTAATTTTTTGAATTTCTTGAAGAAATTGAGCTATTAACATTTAAACATGCTAGAAATACATTTCATTATAAACTCACCCTCAATAATAATATAAAAAACAAGATTTTGTTGTCACTTTTTAGCTTTTTCAATTGTGTGTGCTCAGTGTAGCAAGACTTGTTCTTTGTTTCTTGAGCTCCTGATGCCAAAAGATCAGATTTTGTGTGGTTTTCTTCTTGACATTTACTCCCTGCATGTATTGAAGTTGAGAAAAGATTATTTTATTCAATTTTTGAGGGACTTCTTACCTGTTCATCTACAGGAGAACCAATTAAAAATATTCCCATTGAAGTCTTTGGTAAAACACAGTCTGACATTCAGACTTTCCAACTTACAGACAATAAGATCCATGCACTAATTACATCCACGTCTTTGGGTCCCACTGTACCATATACATTGATGCCTCAAACAAATAAATTAATTTATCAGTAAACAAATTTAAAAAAGGATGGACATCCATAGTGAATAATGAGTAAATATAGGTCTATGAACCGTGATTGACACCACAAGGCAGTGCACATGTTCAGCTTGTTTGCACATGGAAAATGTGTGTCTGAACAAAGTATGATTTAGATACCAACAATCACACCATGTAATTAAGTAAATAAATGGTGAGTTGTTTGAGCAATCCCTCTATTGCGACATGTTGCCAAAATAATGTGTTAACCTCAGATCATGAACTCACTGTTGATGATTTGGCTTTGCAAAGAGCTATCACCCCAATCATATGTCACACTGACATTGGACCCAGTAGTCATGAAGTATGACAAGTTTGCAGCAGTTCCTACCACAACATGCAAAGGTTGGATAGACATGTTGAATCCAGTAATAGGAATCTGCACATTGATGTATGACCCATTCCCACTGCTTGAATTTACTCCAGCTTGGTTGCTTGTTAGTTGTACTTTGAATTGGTACCCATGAGTGGTTGGGTTGAGCATTGGTCCAGGGTAGACTAAAGGCACTGTGTAAATGAATGGATTCCTCAGATTGGCCCTGATGTAGTGGCGACCATTTGTTGCACCATAGTCTGAAGCTGTGAAGGTTTCAGTCAATGAAACCCCTCCAGCATCAGGACCTACAGTCAAAAATCACATATTGTATATGTGTATTTTTGAAATACGCATTAATATGATTTGTGTGCAAAAGGTGAAGATTACTAACTCTCTCCTGGTGCCACAGATCTCCAAGCAATCCTGGCTCCTCTACTGGGATCAAAACCCACTATGAAACCCTTTTTGACCGGCAATGGTGGATCCAATGGGTAAAACACATGGCCATCCTCAAGAACACTTACAGTGAATCTGTTCACAATGGTGTACTGGGTTTTCTGTCCAGAGGTACACACCTGGAATTGAAACTCATTGCTCAAATCTGTATAATACTGTAATGTTGGGTTTCAACCAAAGACTCACTGGTGTTCCTGAGACCTCACATTGTCTTTCTAAGCTGCAAATGGCAGTTGCAGGGTTGACATCACAGGGAACTATTAGATTTCCATTCATAGCTCCACAGCTTGTTCTGCAAACATCACTTGATGAGCAGTAGCTTTCTGTTGCACACCCAGGTTGAAGAACCTTCACATATTAAAATGTTTGAAGAGAAACAATTTTTGGCTGCATAAGGAAAAAGTTTTCACCATACCAAGAGGTCTAGGGTTCCATTTCCAAGCCCATAAAATTCAAATGAGTACAGGGTTGCATCATCCTCAAGAGGAGACCAGTTGAGAAATATTGCATCAGCAGGACTTCCAGGCCAGGCTGGGGTTGTTGATGGAGGATCAGTGGTGTATTCTGTGGTTGGCTCTTCTGTAGTCACTGATGGGAGAAATTTGAGATCATTCACTAAATTCTTGCTTCATGATTTAATTTTAAATGCTCACATGGCTCACAAACTGGCAGAGTGCTTGGCATCCATCCAGCCTTCCCTATGCAAGTAGTTTCAATTTGGCTGAATGTTTCATTCAGAAAATTTCCAACCAGGCATGTAAAAGTTTTCTTGAGTGGAAACTCCCCTGAGTGACTCCAGTACTTTGGCTCAGTGTCAATGCTCACAGGACCTACACCTGTTGGTGCTTTTGTGCTGCAGCCTGTGAAAAACAAAATCCAAGATAAGGCAGTAGCTTGAAATTAAATTTTGGGTGCACAAGTTTCTGCAGCAGAATCCACAAAATCAGTGAAGGACATGTAAACAATGTGATGCACTTCTGTTGTATTTTGCTATATGGACAGTTTTAAATTGCAGGTCTGAATTTGGTAAGCTCTTGGCCACAAATTGACATTTTAGAGCCACCTTTACATTTTTTTCATTACTGATACAATATTCTGAGAAATTTTAATTTTTATCCATTGAATATGAATTGTGAGATTTAGGAGATCATCACAATGAAGGGTTCAAATCATTTCACACATTTGGTGGAGTTTTATTGTCCCTGCATAGCCTAAAGTGCACCAGTTTGGCCATCAAAGATCAAAGTTTTCACTGTTTGGCTGAATTTTCAGGTTTATCTCCATTTCATTCTGGGGCTCATAAAATATTACTCAGTGAAAATGTTCTGAATCTTTTTGCATTAAGAAAGACTCTGATAGATGAAGTACCAGTTTAAGAAACTTATGCACCCATCCTTTTTTTGTAGAGGCTGTCACTATATTCTGTTTGTAACAAAAATAATTACCTGCTTGGCAAAGGAATGGCAAGCGTTCTGGCTCTGAAACAGTTGCAGGGAAACATTCTGTTTTTTTGTAAACCCATCCTGAAACACCCTTTTCAAGCAAAACACAGTCCCCAGAACCATTGGCAGTGCCAAGATTCAAAGCAGTCACTCCATCATAGAGGAGGTGAGAAGCACTGACATTTGCTGCACTTGTGTAAACAGATCTGTAAGATTGTATGGATTATAAAACATGGCCCATTCAAATCATACATTTTTGAATATTTCATACCTTGTAGCTCAAAATAAAGAACAATTTACTCACCTTTTTGAAGGGGAAATCATGACTCTCTGACTACTTCCAATCCCACTTGGAGGGACATCCAATGGATAAATCCCATCCAATAAGACAGTAGCTGAAATTATTTCAGATGGTGACCTCAACTCTGCCAGGACTCCACACCGGTGGGCATAACAAAAGTCATTCATAGTTGTTATGTTCCTGGCTGAATGCTTTGTTGGATCAGTGGACTTCACCCTGTATAACCTTCTATCAGTCAAAGTTGTATATTCTGATGCTTCAACTGAAAAAGAAGACACTATTGGAAGAATGGTTTTCTTTGATTTGTGATCAAGATCTTTACTATCAATGCAGGATACATTTGGCAGGTTCCAATTGGAAGGAAATCCTTTGGTGCATGTGTAGTCTTTAAATCTTTGAAGGGTGCCTTGGATCATTTTCCCACAAGGACATGTTACTCTTATGGATGACCCAATTGGGTAAATGGCCCCTGGGGTTACCAAAGAGTTATTAATGGAATGAGTGATGGAGGCATCAATGATGGCTGGAGGATCTTCACAACCTGAAAATTATCTTTATGTTGAGACAAAATCTTTTAGTGGTAACATTGTGTCCACTTACTTGTGTAACAAGTAGGGATGACAGACTCATTCCAGCCCACAAGGCCCATGCAGGATGATGTGAAGCTTTTTATGTTTTTTGTTTCAAACAGTGCTCCTGGTGGGCAACTGTAGAGAACCTTGAGTGGATATTTTCCTCCAGTTAAGCTCAAAATGGAGTCAGGTGTTACAGATATTCTTGGGTCTGGAGGAATGGGTGGTTCAATTGCACATCCTGTGAAAAATGTTTTACGTGTTTAATGCCTTGAAAACTGTCAATACTGCAGAAAGCAAAAAGTGCAGCTCTTAACAAACAGGAAATCCCAAAAAAATGACTGGAAATTGCTTTAAATATAATAATTAAACCATGAATAGTTTACCAAATTTTCAATTTTGCAAAGTGATGAATGCCCTTTTTATTTATTAAGAAAGTTATTGACACAATGCTATTATATTCCAATTAGCAAACTCAAATTCAAAAGAGAATAACCTTTCAAAAGATATCAACAGGGGTGTTCTACATTGCCCAAAAATTATCTGGCTTTTCAAGTCTCACATTATACCTCTACAAAAGCAGTGTTCCCTGACCTTTTCAGGCCTACAGATTGGCAAATATCCAAAAAAAAGTTTGCAGACAGGCAAATTAAAATAATATCCTGCAAACCAAAAAAGTTTCATACATATTTTCTGGCCTTGCCAAGTTTTGCTTGAATGTAATTAGGCAGGTAGATACAAGAACAATTCAGTTAAGAATGTCATGAAACAATAAGAAAGGTGGGCATGGAGAAAGGTACTGAGATGAAAAAAATAACAATTCGTTTCAGCAGGATAACATTTGTCTGAAGGGTTAATAGGAGAAAAGCCAACTTTTGTTTTCATCAGATAATTCAACTACCATTTCCTTTGGAAATTTTAGGTAAAATGAAGAGACTTCATCCCTCCTTCTGATGAATTTTTTATGCTGAAAAGTTCCAGTGGACCAGCAAAAAACTTCTGCAGACCAGCACCAGTCCATGGACCATGAGTTGGGAAATGCTGTACAAAAGTGTCTCACGTGATTTTCAAAGCATAGTCAATAAAAACCTTTTGCATGTTTTCAAGGGCATCTAAAAACTGCGCAAAAGTTAAATTTACCTGCTTGGCAAATGAATGGGGATGGACTCATCCAGTTTGCAGCCCCAGTGCAAATGTCCTCAGTGGCAAACCAATTTCCATCTTTCATTGAGTCATACAAAACCAGACAACTTTGGGATGCATTAAAAGGCGTGCTTGGTGGTGACAATGGATCATGTAGCTCTGTCACATTAACTGCAGTTCCATTGTACATCTTATACTGCTGGCTTGTCAAGCTATCAATAAATGAGCAATGAATCAAGACAGAGATTTTAAGCAACCAAGATGGAGTCTACTTGAGAGTTAGTCCAGTGTAAACATAGTGTCTCCTTCCTGCTCTTCCAATTTCATTTTTCCCATCCACAGGAAAAATATTTGCCAGTAGATCTGAAGCTTTGATTGCATTCAAGTCGTCAGCATTTCTGGGCTGCCCCAAAACCCCACACCTGTCTGTGGAGCAGAATGTGGAGTAACTTGCAAAGTCAGAGACATAAATCTTGCTTTTGGAAGTGGTCTTGATGCTGTAGAAGATCATGTTTCCAACATCTAGCTGCTCACTTGCTGAAACTGAAAATAATCCCAACTCTCAGAAAATTATTTTCTAGGTAAATTTGAATTGATACTTGCTCATTTCACATGTGGGAGAAGCAGATAATGCTGCCCAAGTTCCATTGGAGCAAGTGTATGTCTTCTGTCTTAAGATAGTCCCACTGATCACTTGCCCACAGGAGCATGAATAGACCACTTGGTACCCAGACACAAAAGGTGCAGCTGGAGAAGACCCTCCAGAGGTACTCACAGACATCCCCAAAGGTGGCACTGGAGGACTGGGGCAGTCATTTGTGTTTGGTGCCTGGGTAGTGGGGAACTCACAACTGGGTACCACATTTGGCACCCACCCTTGCTTTCCAACACATTCTGATATGAATGTTTCAGTGTTAAAGCCAGAGAATACAGATCCAGCAGGACATTTGTACACTGCTCTGACAGAGTTGTGCGCAAAGCCGTAAGTGGTTCCATAACCATGGTATTCATCTGGTGGGCTGGTCATAGTTGCTCCTGATGGTGGTGCAGGAGGGGCCATTGGACACCCTGTTCATCCCATCCAAAATATATACACATTGAGTCAGGCACAAATAATTCATGCTGTCAATTTTCCCAGGTGTAATACTGTATTAAAAGCAAGTGATGCTCACAAAATCTATCACAATCTTTTCTTGGTCTGCATAGCAGCACAGGGCTGCCAAAAATAATCATGTCCTTGATTATTATTCAAACAAAATTCAAAAATTAACATTCTGAACAAAATGCCAAACAATGAATCCAAGATTGAAATAAAAATTATATTTTTCCTATAAAAGAAGCACAATAAAAGCTTCTTTCATATGAAGGCAGCTGATGCTAAATAAAGGGAAGTGGTTTTTGTTTATCAAGCAGTGAATAAACAATTCACTATTGAAAAATAATCCTTATACCTTTTTCCATTTAAAATTATGTTTCCATTTATTCCTTTTAATATTGATACATTCATAGGAAAAAGCCTTGTTTTCCAAGCTTCATCATGGTGGGTTCAACTGAAAAAATTAAAATACTGAGGTTAGGTCTTTTGTTTCTTTTGGTCACACGAAAGACTAAATTTGAATATTAGACACACACAGGTAGTTTTCTCCGTCGTCACTACCTACCTTCTCGTAAACTCATGACATTATTATAAAGAACATGCATGAATGACCACCAAAAGATAAATCCCAGCATCTTTTTTTAAGCTTCCAAAGTACTGCTGTAGTGTGTAGTCTACTTGAAAATCCAATAAAATAAGGAACTCACCAGCCTGGCAGTAGAAAGGCATTTCATAGACCAAGGGAGTATCTGCATACCTGATGAACTGGGGCACATTGAATGTATCAATGGTCACACCAACATTTGGATATGAAGTGGTTGGTAAGTCAAAAGTATTTTTTGTTATCCAGTAAGTTCTTCCATTAGCATTGTAGTCAGTGTTCTTGAAGAAGGCAGTGTCCCCAACCCCAGTTGGGGGCTGCTCAACTTGACCATCATAAGTCAGTCTGCAGAAGTGAATGTTTATTTGGAAAGCAGTTCAGTGTACTGAATAAAATTGGCACAAGGGTTTGTTCAAGAGACTTAGCAGTATTTAAAGTATAAAAATATAAACCTAACCAAAAAGGCGACCGAAGACGAAATCTTAGGAGGTCTGGTCGTATCTTAGTAGTTCTGAGTTTACTTTGTACAACAAGTAGACAAATATCATGAGACCTTCGAGTCGTCGATGAAGTCAAAATTTTTCAGGGTGAATTTTATGACAAACATTGCTACAGGATGGCTGATACAATTTTCAAATTTCATCACACATCACATTTTCAATAATATTCCTAGAAAGATTTGACACATATTAAAAACTTTGGATATTACCAATTAACAGGCCACATGCTTTTTTATAATTGGTCCATGTAAATGCTATTTCCTCAGTGTTGTTGTCACTTTCAAACCCATCACCTTCTATTCAAGTCTGAGACAGGGAAGACAGTAATGCTAAAATCAACCTTGTTCTGGAAAATAAAAAAAAAACTTACTCTCAGGTTATATTCACTGTTGTTTGAGTCTCAGTATAAAGTATATTTATTATAACTAAATATTTCAAGACCCAAATGAATGTTTTGTGGCAAGATCCTTCTCTGCAAATTACAATTTTTATTTCTTGAGGATAATGATCAGGTGTTGAGAATGCATTAAAGAATGAAAATACTGTATCAGTGGTTTCTTGTTCTGGTGAAGTGTAAGCATGTGTTAATGTACTTATCAATGTTTCTAGTGTTCAGAATTTTTTATGAAGCAGTTCTGTGTAATGAAAAGTATTTCCAGCCAAAAATTAACACTGCAACAAAAGGTAAAACAGGCTGACAAAACCTTTGAACCAACCCAGTTAAAGTGTCTTTGTATCATTACTGTACCTTGCTGATATCCCAGTTAACACCATGGGTGTGTATGCAGGTTGCAAAACATATCTCCTGTAGTCATTTGCAGCACCCAAGAAGAAGTGAACTCTTCGCTGAAAAACATGCACGGCAATATTCCTCAGTGAGTCTAAACTGGCAGTATCTCTGAAATCTGCCAAAGTCCCACAAGTTTGCAATTTGCACCAGTTGTTCCAGTTTTGAAGTCCAGTTCCAGTATAATCCCCTTGCCAGGATCCTCCAGGATACACAAAGTATCTTGTTGTTGGTGCATTAGATGCATAAGTGACATCACTCGCTATATGGAGGATGGATTTGGAATAGCAGGACAATTAGCCTTATGCTTAGATAGTGTCTTTATTTTTCATGAATATACTCACTGCCTTCAAAGCAGTCAAAAGTAGTTGGGGTACCAATCCAGTTTCCATCAATGCATGTTATGGGCCATACTCTGACATAGACACTCTCACAGCCCACAACAGTTGAGCTGATGAATGATGTCACAGAGTTTAAATAGTGGATACAATTATAGAGGATGTGTGCACATAGTT